ACTGGCGTACTATTTTTATTTACAAAAATAATACCACTAATCCACTATATCTCCGCCACTGCAGCACGTTAATCTACATACCAAATTTTAGTTCATTCCAGTTGACGGTTTTGAAGATATTAAAAAAATTGTTTTTAATTTTGAAACACCACGTATCTCCTGTGTATGATGGTTGATTTTTGGTCACGACTTGTGAATCATCCTGTATATCTGTGAGCTGAGATATTCTGAATCTAAAAGGTCCAGCAGTCAGTTTTGTAGACTATTTAGCCGCTATAAAATTACGTTGCCCACGGGGGTCTAGTCTACTTTCACATAAACGATGAAATGATTGTGTACACGAGAACTTTGTATGACATAATTTTTCGGTAACTTTTTTTAGGTGAGTGTGGAGGAATGGGCCCAAATGTGGGACGACTACTCGAAGCAACCCGAGAGCGCCTTGGAATGGCAGAACCAGTACCTGCGGTTCATGTTCGAGTTAGAGGATGCGTCTGGAGACGGTTCCATTGACATAGATGAGTTCACCAGCGTATGTTCCTGCTATGGGCTGAATATAGACGAGTGCAGGGAGGCCTTCCAAAAAATGGCTCAGGTAACATTATATTTCCATAGAAGTAGATGGCACACAACTACCACCTCTGATAAAGACCATACGTTTGATGGACGCTAGTTTGTTTCGCTTTCGTTCAATGTCTCACCTGAAACCTGCGCAGATTCCCAATAAGGATAGAGCTGCGCGGTAAACGTGTGGTTTGGATGGACGAAAGCAGAGGTTAGTTTTGACAGGAAGTTTTTAGGGTTATCTCAAATACCTATACATGGTGTAAACGTTATGATAGTCATTATTTAAATGGGTGATAGAGGGGGATAAAACAAGCAAAATGTTTCATATAACATGGGGGTCAAAACGGCATTTTTTTAGAGAAAAGGGACTTTAAAGTAAAATAAAATCTGACAACGCCACAATTCCAGACGCAAACTACGACGGAACGCAATGTAAATAAAGATGGAGTTTGTTATTTTTGGCTCTTAGGTATTATTATTTCATTATTTGATAATGTACTCGTAAAATGCAAACAATTAAAAAAACTGACTTACCACTATCTATCTCAGCGCTTATTGAACGTATTAAAAAAATCCACTTATAAATAGGGTACACAATTTTGATACATACATTGTTTTTCTTTTTAAAACCCACACTGCACATTTTTTGTATTTAAAGGTGTTCAAAATGTCGTCCTGCACTTTCCACACAAGCTTCTTACGACGAACCCAGTTTCTTCTTACTCTAGGTCCTCGAAGCTGTCCATTTATTATTTCAGGCGCATTAAAATTTTTTTGTGCTTCAGTTGTTATTGGACCAGCCCCAGAACCATTCTTTAAGTTCTCCCCAATACCAGAAATCCATCGGATTGAGGTCAGGAGATCTTGCTGGCCATTTCCGAGTATCGGGAGCATTTCGACCGATCCAGCGATTTGGATAATGTTTATTCAAATACTGAATGACGGCTGTAATAATGTGTGGTGGTGTTCCGTCACGAAGAAAACACAAATTCTGTCTCCATTGTAATGGCATGTTGCCTAAGATCTGTTCCAAAAGTTCTGGTAGGTTATTGGCTAGAAAGCTAAGGTATCCTTCTCCTGACAACTTTGGGGGTAACTCGAAAAGGCCAATTACCTGATCGTCAAGAATACCCACCCAAATATTTATTTTAAAACGTTGTTGGAAATGACCTTCACGAATGGTATGAGGATTTTCTTGGGCCCACGTGTGAGTATTATCGAAATTTAATATCCCATCTCGCGTAAAAGTACATTCGTCCGTCGCTAGAATGTTTTTAAAAAAAATCCGGATTTTCAATGTTTTTGTGCAAAAACCAGTGACAGAATGTTAGTCTGCGAGGATAGCATTCTGGTAACAAGGCCTGCACTCGTTGTACATGGTAGGGATAAAGCAAATTTTCCCGTAGGATTCTATGGACTATGGTATGCGATAGTCCTACGCGGTGGCCTAATTCCCGAGTGCTGATATCTGCACTGATTTCCACGATATTTAAAATTTGTTCCTCCTGCTCTACAGTAACCTGTCTTTCACGAGTGCGAATATTAGTGTGCTGAACACTTCCTGTACCTCGAAGTCTTTGGTACACTTGCACAAATGTCCTTCTGTCTGGGTGTACCCATTGGCGAAATCTGTCGCGATGAATTTGAGCTTCAAGATTTGAATTCTGTCGAGCTTCACCGTAAACCAACAACATGTCGGCGCACTCTTGATTCGAGAAAATTGTAAATAAACACGACGACGTACGCGAACAGAAACAAAACAACATACTAACCACTGTTATCGTCTGCGATCGATTGCCGGTTCGATAAGAGTGGTGAAAGACCGGCGCGCTGTTGTCATGTGTGTTTTAAATATTTAATTTAATGAAACTTAATTACTGACTACAAAGTTTGGCTAAACTCAATGCCATTTATTTGTTAATTACCCAATTTAAAAACGTTTTAGATTAGATTATTATAATTAGTAAGATTGTGGTGATTGTGGTCGATATAAAGCACTTAAAGGAGTAAACTATAAAGCCATTTAGACAAAACTTTTTGACTTGTTCTGACCCCCCTATTACCCGTTTCAATAATGACTACCATAACGTTTACAACCTGTATAATGCTCAATGATTTTTGAGTATTGGCTACAATCCATCAAAAAACGCCACAGTGCTAAGTTTTTTTTTTAAAAATAGCCGTCTGGGACACCTCGCCGGTCCTAGAATGATCTAATTTCAAGTTCACCAAAAGTACCGAAACCAACCATCCTAACGCTCTGTTTTGTTCTAACCACCTTTCACCGCTAAACACACGTGTACATTTTTAAACATGAAAGACCTGCGTGTAACGTTGCTAGCTCATCGTCTATTCTGCTTAGCCCGTTCTGGTAATTCACGCTTTGTCCAATTGAGCTATATCCGTCATCAACTGTAATTGCGGCAAACAGCCTAAAATACTCGGTTACAATTGGTTACAAACCAACGTCTTCAGTGCCATGGCCAAAGAACTTACAGAAACTAGAACTGGTAGAGAAGATGGAAGTGTTTAGCAGGATATTTAACTGTTTGAGACATTTACAAGGTATGAAGACAATCTTTTTGATGTGTATAAAACGCAACCAATTATGAAATACGTCCCTGAAAAAAATAATGCATATCCCTAATTATCTCCCTCCCCGCACCCTTCTACAACCTACCCCTATTTTTTTCAAATAGACAGGATTTTTGTTACATGTTAAAAACCAAAGTTCTAGCGATTTTTAATTGTTGTTTTCAACCTTTCTCTCCCCCCGCCACTGGACCGATTTTTACAAAAATTCCAAGCTTCATGGTCCTTGGCACTGTGTGAAAATGTCATTAAAATCCAAGCTATAGACGGGACAGGATTAGCGGACATACAGACCGACAGACGAAAATGATTGACATGGTTTTTCGTAATGTACATATCATATAACATCCAAGAAACATATATCATTTTTGAATTTTTTTGCGATTCCAATACTTCCTCGCCAACAGGCATGGGGAGTAAAATGGAAACTCAGACTTCCCGTGAATCTCGTGAGCTACGCTTGTAATTTACTCAAGAAGCATGTTTCCATTGAAAATTGTCTCATAATATTTGTCAATAGCTCACCGTGGCAACAAGTAAACTAAACTTGATTTACATAACTAAATATTTTGAGGCGCTGAATTCAGATATTGAGAGAGTCCAACCTCCCACCTGTGGGAGTTGCAGCTTAGGAAAAGTTGCGTTCTTTGGGGCGTATTTGAATGCCGTTGAGTTGTACACCGATAAATGTTCTGCCAGATGTTGACAATGTCTTTGAAGAAATTATTTACGAACAGATCATCGAATTTATTGAGGGAAATAACATTTTAGCCAAATTTCAAGCTGGATTCAGGAAGAAACACTCAACTGAAACAACAACACAAATGGTTTTAGAGGACTGGAGGAGATGTATGTATAATAGGAAAAATACAGTAACAGTGTTTTTTGACTTCAAAAGAGCGTTTGAGACTATTCACAGGGATAAATTACATACAAAATTGCATCACTACGGATTTAAAGGATCTGTATTCAAAATTGTACAAAACTATTTAATTGACAGAAGTCAAAAGAACAAAATTGGATTTACATCACCAAGTTCAAAAAATATTTCCACAAGGAAGTAAACTAGGTCAACTACTATTTATTTTATACAGTAACGACATTTGTAATATTTTAGATTATTGTAAAATTCAAATATTTGAAGATGATACATTAATATATACTAAATGACATAAATCCGAACACCCAGTTTAAATGGTTTTATTTTAATAAAATTTTGTATAAGTACTTAATGAAGCATAATAAGTAAATGATAAAAATTTTATTGCACTGCTTTAAAGCCCTTTGACCTTTAACAGTGTGTGGATGCACCCTGATGTGCTACGCATTCTCCAACGCGCCTAGGCATGCTTCTGATCAGGTGGTCAATGTCCTCCTGTGGTACCTCATTCCAGGCAACCAACTCCTCTCGAAGTGCTTCTAGAGTCTGAGGAGGACGTTGCAAATTGAGCAATCTAATACCCATCATATCCCATACGTGCTCAATTGGGGATAAGTCGGGAGATCTTGGTGGCCATGGTAACAATGTGACATCATTATGTTGAAAGAAGTCTATTGTGACTCTTGCAACATGTGGTCGGGCATTATCTTGTTGGAAAGTTGGATCTGCCAGGGTGTCAAGATAGGGTAAAAGATGGGGTTCTAGAACTTCGTGGATATAACGCTGCGCGTTCATGTTACCTCTGATGAAGATTAAAGGTGACCTGGAACCATAAGCTATAGCACCCCAGACCATAACTCCAACAGTGTGATGAACATGTCTTTCAACAAAAAACTGTGGATTCCTCCTTTCACCACGTCGCCTTCTAACCCTGGCACGACCATCGTGCATGCCTAAACAAAATCGAGACTCGTCACTAAAGACAATACTGTTCCATTCCTGATCCCAGAGTGACCGTTGTCTGCACCACTCAAGGCGATTACGTCGGTGTTCTCGAGTTAAAGGGAGGACCCAGTGTGGCCGGTATGAAAACAAGCCAAAACTTCTCATTCGTCGGTAAACACTTCGCATGCCAATAGGTGTTCTGCAAACCATTCATTTGCAATGGACCTGGTAGTGGAGAAACGGTCCCTTAAGGCCAATAATCTTAGGCGGCGATCTTCACGGTCTGTTGTTCTACGGCGGCGTCCAGTGCCCCTTGCTCTCTGCGTACGGCCTTCTCGAAGCCATGCCTGACAACACCTAACCACAGTGTCTACACTTCTTTGCACTCTAACTGCAATTGCCCGAAAAGAAGGTCCAGCTTCCCGAAGTCCCACTATACGGCCCCTATCAAACTCACTAAGTTGACGAAATCGTACAGGTCTCGGTACTCTAGGCATCGTAACCGATCGTAAAGGATGTCAAGAACCAAAATCCGCCAACGTTGATTCTTTACTGCGGCTGAAATATTCATTTTTAGAGCGTTAGTGAATTAACAAAAAGCAGTATAAAAACCGGAATGTCCAACTGATAAGGCTGAAAATTTTTTCACTTGTTATTTACAGTAAGATAAATACATTCACCAACTTTTATTAAAATAAAACCATTTAAACTGGGTGTTCGGATTTATATGTCACTTAGTATACATAAGATTAAAATATAGACACTGCTTTAAAAATGCTTAATTCTGACTTGGCAAAAATCATAAATTCGTTAAATGTAAATAAACTTAAATTGAAAACTTCTAAAACAAAATGTATGCTAATAGGGAAATACCTAAATGAAAATATTATCATAGTTAGGATAAATGGTGAAATAATTGAAAATGTTGAAACAATTAAATATTTAGGTACCTACATACATTGATAGTAACAAATTACTTTTATAGGGCTTCTCATAGACTTGGTACATATTCCAAGAAAATAGTTTATAATACAATTATTCTACCGCATTTACTATATTGTTCGCTGCCAATGAAGCTTTATTCTCAACATTGCAAGTCCTGCAAAATAAAATCTATGTTACACGACTTGCAGTGGTTGAATATACAAAATTTCATATCATATTTGGTTCTTATTTCCATATTTAAAATAAAAAAATATATTTTGCCACAACATTTAGAACACCACATAGAACTGATTAATCATTACCACAATTATTATACAAGAGGAAATATAGATTTTCATTTACAAAATTGCAATAGTAATATAACTAGCAAATCAATATTTCAGAAAGGATTACTTGCATTTAATAAACTAGATAATGATATAAAGTCTACTGGTTTAACAGTAGAAAATTAAGCATTAACTATTCTAAAACACATTTTTGCCATTTGGATCTTATGCTAAACATCTGCCAAGTTACACAAATTTCTTCTTCAACATTAATGATCAAAAAATGCAAATTAATAGAGTGCCCAACATAAAATACCTTGGAGTGGTCTTGGATCCTCACTTACGATGGGACATCCATGTCAATTATATTTTAAAGAAAGTTAGATTTGTATCCTACAAAATTAAATACCTTGGGAATATATTGACAGAAAAATATCTTCGAACATTATACCATGCACTGATTGAGCCTCATCTCACATATGGTATATTAGCATGGGGAGCTGCATGTTCCTCACATATCTATAATTTAGATGTTTTTCAAAAAAGTTTTCTAAAAATGATATTTAAAAAACCGAAACTTTATCCCACTGAAAAATTATACGCAGATGTTCGAATGTATGATATAAGACAGCTTTATTTCTTACACAGTATCACTCACTACCATAAATTTGTAAACACCGACCAAAAAATTAAACATAATCATTATACAAGGTACAAAATTCGTGGCACAGTAGTTCCTCAACCGCATAAATCTATAATGCAGCGATCATATCTCTATTTAGCGCCTAAATTTTATGAAATTATACCTAAAGACTTAAAAGATTTACGTTTCGGAAATTGTTTCAAAAGAAATTTAAAAAAATGGCTACATTCTATATCTAGGACTGAAATTCATAAACTCATAAATACGAGCATCAACTAAATACATAATCTACTGTAGCTAATTTTTGTCCCTTTTTGTCATTTGCATTCTACAGTTTCAACTTAAATTATTGGTCCATGTACAGGCGATGCCTTCTATTGGGCCTGTTTTGATTTTATATTTATTTACTCATATTGTTTGTTATCTTTGTACATTGAGTGAATAAATATTATTATTATTATTATTATTATTAATTTAAAGATGTTTAAAAGAAAATTGAAGGAATATTTCATGGACAGTCATCTGTATGTTATGTAATTGTTTAGTTTTTCAAAAGAATGTAATTGTAAACTTATAATATAATAACAGAAATTTTTTAGAGATCGCTTCTGACGGCAAATGCTGTTGTGGAAATTGAAGAGCGGGGGTTGAATAGCAAAGTAATTTTTGCACCAATCTCCCTCTAAGTCCGCCATTGGATTCTGCCTTCGTTGCGGCACATGGATATAAAAATGAAGTAGTAAATACTGGATAAATATAAGTGTAGAAAATATCAAGCCATTTTGATTCACTTCTAAATCTGATACAGTCGCTGGTCCAGACAAAGTAAATATTGTCAGGGATTGCGAATTACCACGTCCAGGCTAGAGAGTCGAGAGGATGTACTGCTGGAACGAATGGTCGGAAACTCGTTATCCGCTTTTTATTTCCAACTGTTTCCTTTTGGCCGGAGGTAAAATATTTCCGCGGACAGATAACGAGAAACCAACATGTCTCTAGGAAATAAGTCAACACAATGTTATACATCTTCAGCATTTAAAGAATAACTCTGTTACTTCCCACCATGTTCCTCTGTGTCTCCTCCAAGCTACGAATGCTACGTTGCCAGTCTAATCACTTAATTTACAGATCTCGGGCATTTGCTACCGATTACTGACTTAAAACTCTCGAGATGGTTGATGAAGCTTAAATTATATCTATGACTTGTGTATTTTTATTTCAGGGGAAAAACGAAGTGAACTACGAGCAATTTGTGGATCTATGGCAGCAGTTCTTCACATCAGAAAATCCAGAAGATCCCGGTAACTACATTTTTGGCAAAACCAAATTTTAAAAAACTACTACCACGCCGCGCGATTTGTACAACATACAAAATATATGATGATTTTTGTATAAGTATTATAACTACGAAAGTTAAATGATACTAAATAAAAAATGTTTGTGTTAAAATATATTGTTACATATCCTTATGAACGCTGTATCGAAACTACAACACTGGATGGAACACCCCCTAACCCCTTCTTTGGAAGTAATAAGTGTCAAGGGCCGCTTAAGAAATATTTGTAGTTCGTAGATATTTGTCATTTCAAAAAGTTGTGCACCTGTGAATATTTCAGCGGCATTCATTGTGCTCGTATGAATACTTGTTTTTCCAAAATGGCCCTATTGAGTATAATAATTATATATCATTGGTCAACGTATTCTACCTGAAGATCAGCATCTACGCTATATTCGCGGGTCCCAAAAATTATCCGAGATGAAATGAGATACCGAAGCGTCATCCATGAAAATATATCACAGTTATCTTTCTCATAACCGTAATAATTAGAAATTCAGTTCAATGTCTCATATATGGCGCTGTAACCAAGTATGTTGAGCATATAGCTACAGCGTCAACTACGAGACATTAGCCTTTTCAGAGTAGAATTTCATTTTTTTTAACATCGTAAAGGTCCATTGTGGCAGTGTTGTTCAATGCAAAATAAAACAGTACGTTAGCATTAGAGATAACTATGAATTCCAGTGGCGTCTCTGGAGACAAAATGTACGCCATCGATTCTTTTGAAATAGATTTTTTTTTTCGGACAAAGCAGCTTATGATACAACTCTTGGTATCTCGTCGTAGGAAAAAAATAATAACAGCGCCATTGCACATCGAAAAATTATCAAAATAAAATCATATCAACTCTGACCAGGCTTTTCGGGAGACAAATTTATCTGAACGTGTTTTACCTTAATTTTGATCAGGAGCACGCCATTGTAATTACGGTCTATCATTGACGCATATAAACCTGACGTTATTTTAAATAATCATATTGAAGAATGTTTATCATAAAAAATTTACAAACGAATTAGGATGGTCTAATAAAAAAGACGTTCTGAATAAAAACTGAAACCTGCTTCTCTAAAATACACATTCTGTTTTTTAAATCGAAAACTCCTACGAAAATCTAACTTTCAACGCCATTAATTAGAAAAACAGGTATTCTAGCTCATTTCCCGCTGAAATGAAACTATGTTGTAGAGTGATGAGGTTTACGTTAATTATGTGTTCCTTCCAGTAGACCTATGAAAAAAATGGTCTTTAAGACTATCTTCTAGCCTAAACTTACTTTTCCATGCCTTTTTACTCAGTGTATACTCAGAAGAGTGGAATGCTTCTAGTTGCCCTGCTCAGATGAACTTAAGTCTCGCTTGTGGTCCGATAAGTAAACACTTAAAGGCAAGTGACAATTCTTATACTAAGAAACGAAACAATTTGTTTTGTTTAAAAAATATGATGGTTGAGATATTCTGAGTGTACACGCTATAGTATTTCCACTTTCTATTAAGAACTCTTAAACTATCTTGTAGGAAAAGATGTAGAGTCTAGTCAATTATATACTATGAGCTACATATGACTATAATCCCAAAGATTTCTATAAACCGTAAGATTTTATAAGAGATGTATAAATGTTATTTCTTTTAGCACAATTTAACGAATATTGATGTTTTGACAGTGGGTAAAAGGTCACAGAAATGGATATCCGACAAACTAAACAATATCGAAGATAAAACGCGTAATTATTCGGCACAAAATCAGAATATGTAAACGAGTATTCCATATAACAATACACAATAACAGTTCCATTTTATATAAGGATGCCTATTTCTGTGACATTTCTTCACAAAATAGTATATCGCTTTTTGTTTAATATTGTTGAGGTACAAAAATATTGAGGAATTGGACATGCAATTTAGGAATACAGCAGGTTTGTCAAAATGCTGGAATCTTTATTGGAATCACCAGTTTCCAATATAAAATATAGATTGTCCAAAAAACATTCAATGTTCTTGTACTGTAATAAGAATCGAACATTTTCGAAGTATCTGATTTTGAGTGCTCAGAACGACATCGGTGTAATTCCTCATCAACCTTTAGATATGCCCACAATTAACAGAGTTTAAGCAGGCTATACACGGCCAATGTAAGTTAGTTTCTAAAACGAAAGATCTTCAGCCTGTATGGCCAGCATAAGGTGTGATAAGAATGACCATATTTGTATCGTGAATGGCACTTTATAAAAAGTGAATCATAATATTATAGTAGTTTTGCCTGCATTAACATAACAAGATAACTATAAACCCCGGATTGTATTATTGTTTGATAAATGGAACAACAATACTAGATACCAAAACATTTGTGCATCGGTGAATTTTGAGCATGATTATATGTTTTATATATTTAATTACGGAGTTATAGACAATTACTAGAGGAATTAATGTGAATATATGTATTTATGATGGAGATAATTGTGTATTAATAAATGTTGGAAATGTGCACGAAGTTTTATTTGAAACAACGACATTATTAAAACAGTTCCCCTCAAGAAAATCGTGTAGCCTACTGAGGCTGAGGCAAAAATTTGCCCACAACACCAGTTTACCTACAGATCATACATACGCCGAGGTATTTGAAAAACTACCCATACAAAATCTAAGATGTTAGGCAGGACACGAATTACCATTTTCGTGTCCTGTTGTTACAAGCAAATGAAACTTTGACTTAGGTAATTTGGGTCGATGAATTTGTGTTCATTCACTGTCATAATCAAAGAATCGTGAAGCGTCCTGGAGCTGAATTTATGGTAGTACTTATGTGGTCTTAGTTCGATGAGTTCTAGCTTCAAATCGACGTCAGATACGGATTTATCCAAAAAATTTTGGAGGACTTTTCGCCCAGAACGCCTATATTAAAAGGTACTTGACCATTGTCTCATTGAAAGACTTAAAATGTTATAGGACTGTCGGACAACAAGCGGAATTGCCTTGCAACCCTTTGTTGCGAGAATCGATGAAGAACAGAGTCGAGCAAACTTAACATTTCAAGTTGCGGCTTGCCCTGAGATCAAAATTGAATCGCGTAATTTCCGATTATATAAAACAATATTCCTAAGCTCCAGCCTAACTCTTTTTCGGAATTCAAAATTATTTCAGTAATTCTCAGGAATACTTAGATGCGCCCTCTAACAGTTGTATTTCTACCCCTCTATTTTCTCATTTTTTTTTCTCTTTAATCTAATCTGTTTTCCGAGTGACCAGGCCGGCCACACATAATACGAGTATATGCTGCATCTCTCCGGCTCACGCAGAATATCCATTGAGCGCGAGCTTTATTAGCAATTAAAAAAATAAAGGTATGTAATGAGGTAACGAAAACCCCGTTTTTACTGTTCAAAGTCTAATTTATTACTCTAATATTAATTTTGCAGCACTTGCAACTAATTTGTGACCATGACGAATGGACAATGTTGACGCATCGGTCGTTGCACGTTGAATATCGCTCTGGTGGAGGCGTCCGAGTGCTTATTTTGAATTCAATCTACTCCAGAACATTCGCGCGGCCTATCGAAGATGTGGAAATGCCTATTGATGCTTCTCGAACGCTCTTGATGTCGAACGAAACTCCTCAAGGGGCCACAATCGTTTACCCAGAGCCATGTAACTCTGGTTGCCTAAGCTTCCATGTTTCTGGACATCTGTAGAACCTTCTCTACGATGTACGAGGGTCGCTGGTAGCGAGAGTTCCAGTTATACCAATGAGTTACAATTACAATGGTTTGGAAATTTATCAATATTTAGGAAATTTGGCAACATTGAAGTTTTCATTTTAATATCGTTTTTTGGAGTCGAAACTGCCACATTATACCTTGAAAACAATGAACTATAGAGAAAAGCTCATAAGGTCTTCTACCAGTCAAAGTCAAAAGAACCTTTACAGGAAAGTAATAAAACTGCATAAAATATTCGTTAATAGCCCAAACATAGTCGGAATAAAATGCGGCGGTGTTGGTCAGCTACATTCTTTTAAGGTCATCAAATTAAAGAGGGTGAACAATTTTCATGGACTGCCATTAAAATGTGAAATCCTACCAAAAGTAACTTACATACTGTTAGAATTTCAATGACGTTCAGAATTTATTTGTTCAGAATGACACAACAAAAATATCCGTCAAAAGCGATCCGTAAAAGACCGAATCAGAATATCTTTCCGAGCAGATGCGAAGTTACTTCGTTGACTAATAGACGCATGTAGGTTTTTAGTTTTTCTCATAAAAAACTCAAAATGCTTTGTAAGTCAAAATTTCAATTTTTTTTCCTGTCGTTGCAAGCCTTCGAATCTACGGTAAGTACTATACAGTGTGTTAGGGAAATAATATTCGCAACTTCAATAGGCGATTCCTTGCATTATTCTAATCAAAAAAAAAAACATAACTCATGTCCGAAAATCAATCGTTTCCGAGGAAAGTGAGTCGTAAATAATTAAATTTTCTCAAACATTTGGCAACGCTGCAACGCATCCGCGATACAAGCGTACGACGACCGCAACTGATCATCGAATTGTTTACGTTTGTATATTTTTGTTGAAAATATGCCTTGAATTATTGAATACACTTACGCAATTTTTTGTAGCTAATATTTTTTATTTAATAACACTTTCAGTACAGTACATTTACTTAAAAAAAATTGACAGAACTTACCGGTACGTGGCGATACACACCACCAATTCCCACGATTATCAGTCACTTTGTGGCTAATATTTTTTATTTAATAACACTTTCAGTACAGTACATTTACTAAAAAAAAATTGACAGAACTTACCGGTACGTGGCGATACACACCACCAATTCCCACGATTATCAGTCACTTTGAAACGATAGCATGCACGAAAAAAGAAAAAAACAACATCCGTAAATCACATAAAGTTACAGTTAAATGTATTAGTAATCACAACAACACGCGATGATGCATGCAGTGCAGGCGGAGTACGACGTTGCCAGTTGTGCGAGGGATTTTGTTTGTCTGTTTTTCTTCGGAAAATTATATTCAAATAGCAAGAACATTATTTTGTTAGAGACAGTTAATTAATAAATAGATGTATTGATACATTTTACGATATTAGCTATATGAATTTAAATTATTAAGGTGCAAAATTAATTTATTTCATGACTAAAAAGGAATAAGTTCAGCATTTTTTTTTCTCCGAAACGGTTCATTTTCGGACAAAGGTTATAATGAACTTTTTTGCTTAGAGTACTGCTAGGAATCACCTCTTAAAGTTACAAATATACTAAGTGACATATAAATCCGAACACCCAGTTTAAATGGTTTTATTTTAATCAGTATTTTATCAGTTGGACATTCCGGTTTTTATACTGCTTTTTTTTTAATTCACTAACGCTCTAAAAATGAATATTTCAGCCGCAGTAAAGAATCAACGTTGGCGGATTTTGGTTCTTGACATCCTTTACGATCGGTTACGATGCCTAGAGTACGGAGACCTGTACGATTTCGTCAACTTAGTGAGTTTGATAGGGGCCGTATAGTGGGACTTCGGGAAGCTAGACTTTCTTTTCGGGCAATTGCAGTTAGAGTGCAAAGAAGTGTAGACACTGTAGTTAGGTGTTGTCAGGCATGGCTTCGAGAAGGCCGTACGCAAAGAGCAAGGGGCACTGGACGCCGCCGTAGAACAACAGACCGTGAAGATCGCCGCCTAAGATTATTGGCCTTAAGGGACCGTTTCTCCACTACCAGGTCCATTGCAAATGAATGGTTTGCAGAACACGGAAGACCTATTGGCATGCGAAGTGTTTACCGACGAATGAGAAGTTTCGGCTTGTTTTCATACCGGCCACACTGGGTCCTCCCTTTAACTCGAGAACACCGACGTAATCGCCTTGAGTGGTGCAGACAACGGTCACTCTGGGATCAGGAATGGAACAGTATCATCTTTAGTGACGAGTCTCGATTATGTTTAGGCATGCACGATGGTCGTGCCAGGGTTAGAAGGCGACGTGGTGAAAGGAGGAATCCGCAGTTTTTTGTTGAAAGACATGTTCATCACACAGTTGGAGTTATGGTTTGGGGTGCTATAGCTTATGGTTCCAGGTCACCTTTAATCTTCATCAGAGGTAACATGAACGCGCAGCGTTATATACACGAAGTTCTAGAACCCCATCTTTTACCCTATCTTGACACCCTGTCAGATCCAACTTTCCAACAAGATAATGCCCGACCACATGTTGCAAGAGTCACAATAGACTTCTTTCAACATAATGATGTCACATTGTTACCATGGCCACCAAGATCTCCCGACTTATCCCCAAATGAGCACGTGTGGGATATGATCGGTAGGAGATTGCTCAATTTGCAACGTCCTCCTCAGACTCCAGAAGCACTTCGAGAGGAGTTGGTGGTTGCCTGGAATGAGGTACCACAGGAGGACATTGACCACCTGATCAGAAGCATGCCTAGGCACGTTGGAGAATGCGTAGCACATCAGGGTGCATCCACACATTATTAAAGGTCAGAGGGATTTAAAGCAGAGCAATCATTTTGAAATTTTTATCATTTACTTATTATGCTTCATTAAGTACTTATACAAAATTTTATTAAAATAAAACCATTTAAACTGGGTGTTCGGATTTATATGTCACTTGGTACGAGGATATTATTTCCCTCACACCCTGCATAAACAAAATGTTAAGTCTATATCTTGAAGCACTTCGAGGATGTATTTTTTTCAATTTCAAAACTATTATCTCAACACTCTGTATCTCGATAAGTGGGCATTTACATTTACATGTTTATATGAAATCTTGTTATTTTTCATTTACTTGATTCTCAGAAATTTACCTTGTTTTTCTGAATCACCCTGCATATTCCAGGGGGAGGGCCTGGATATGGTTAAGGCATGAATTCGACGCATTGCTTCACTTAAAAAAAAACAACAGCCAGTAGTTTATAATATCTTTAATAAAATCAATAGAAGATGAGAAATTCCAGTTTTTATTATAATTAAAATGGAACTATCCACCTATGAACAGTACATTCAAGTAGAGTAGAAATATGGCAAAAATTTGGCTTGAACATCCGTAACGGGGAAAAATTGAGCACAAATCAAGTGAACACAATAATTTTACTATAGAAATGGAATATATTTCAGTGATTAAATAGAATTAACGAATGACATTTCTTATGAATGATGGGGATCTATAGAACACAAAATGCGCACGTTATTAGTATTTAGTCAAAAGTCGAAAAATTACTTAAGTTATATGCTAGCTCACATGCACTTGAAATAATTTGATATAGATGCCATGAAACATCATGTTTAATCAATAACACCATAATTTTGAATCAATAATGAAGAGTTCAATATATTTGAGAGTTTTGATACATTTTGTGTTCAATCTTCGGGGAAAGCATATCTGTGCTCAATGCTTGTAAGGATATGAGTATGATTTGAATCGAATGAAAAATAAGCTTGCATTTATATTCTCAACTGTATTTTTTAAAACACGCATTTGAATCGTTTTTACCATATCAGCTTATAACTACAAAATATAAAACTTTATAATACATAATTATACATATAAAAATCCTAGGTACCACATTTCAACAAAAGACAAAAACAAATAGGTTGTATTTTTCCGATGCGAGACCATCAGCTATCATTGAATATTTGACTTTGCAGTGTCACTGAATTCTAAAGGGTTGAAACACGTACGTAGATACAGGGCGAACCGTACAAGCAGCGCAGTACAATAGCACTCCTGTATACATGAATAAATAATCTAAAAATTGAACTAAAGTTGAACACAGAATTCTTCACGTTTGTCAACCTTTACCGATATATATGTTCATGTTTGGCAGTTACTAATCTTATTTTACACAATATCAACATGTACGTCTTTATCTTGTTTTAAGCAGGATCTATTTAAAAGGTGGGGTACGTGAAAATAGTACTTTTAAATGACTTATCTAAGAAACAGCTCCAAAAACTGTGAGTTTTGATTAAATGCTACACATGTGACATAATGACAGGGGTTGCTACTAATCTAAATTTTACTTCTGTCGTACCACCTTCTACTGCGTCTCAGTCTCCAAGGTAGTGAGTTTTACTCTACTATCACCAATAGTTTTTACTGCACCAAATGTTCACAGAAAAGGCTATAGGTGTGTATATTTGTCCATTTTTTTAGGTACCACAACCAAAATTTTGACTTGTTTCCCGAAAAATTGTGAAAAAGAAAAAACCGCGTTTTCGCCGTATTTCTTCAATTTTTTATATTTTCGGTCAATAAAAGAATGCTTGTCTAAATCAAAAACCTGTACGTATGCATCGATTGAGCCTTTGAGTTATGTTATCCTGCTCTAAAAATGTCTAAAATTGGAAAAATCGGTGGTTTTTCAAAATTTTTTGAACAAAATTGCGCCCGTAAAAATTATTTCAACGCGTTTTTGAGGTAGGGTGCCCCTAGGGGGAGATCTATCAATCTTAAAATTTGGATAAGGTGATTTGACATAACATACATTAATTGATGATCCAGATTTGGATACATTTGGGAGCAATTTTCATATCTTGTTTCGCCTATAGCCTTTATCTATTACATCTTTTTACAAAACACCTCGCTTTTTCGGCTTAATTAATTTCTTTTCAAAAGTTTAGATTTTTAAATCTATTATTTTCAAAATACTTAGTGTTTAATATTTGAAATTGTATCAGCAATCCTAATCAAAGGTTCGTCTAATCAATACATGGGGAAATGTGTAAGCCATTGACATATATTCCTTATAAGTGAGTTTAACCATTGGAACTACTGATCCTAACCCAAAAAAAGGTTTAATTTTTGCATTAGAAAGCTTTACCTAGAAACGCTTTATTTGTTCAATCGTATATTACAATACTACATAGAACAGTACATATTACGATGCGTTTGGATCTTTGTGAGCATCACATAGCACAAAACACACGCTAAAATCACAAAAATAGTACTATTTATAATAAATTCAAATCGCCTAACTTAAACGGAATATTAGAATATTCTAACTAGATATTGCAGAGAACTAAAAAATATAACAGTTTAAAAATATCACAATAACCGTGTTCAAAAATAAATTATTTATATAGATAGTGTTGCTCGATTTGATTGTTCACATTTTCACTTCTATTTTTGCTAAGATCATCATTGAGCAAAATTGAAATGTCTCGAAGTTTCATACATCACAATCACCTTATACAAAATCAGCGCGATAACCTGAAATATGTCAATGTCATTATGTTAACTACCATTTTTACCTGAGGCTGCGGTGACCATATACGTCAATACTATCGACAGGAAGGCTGTTTTTCACTAAACATCCTTGACCTATTTCAGATAAAAACGTAGAAACGTGATGTCTTCAAGAGAAAAAACAGTCAGAATAAGTATAAACTGACTGCATATTTTTTATGCTAACTGTATTTCTTTCTCTAACTAAAAGTCTTCGTATGTTTCTTCGTTAGTAGACGTTCGTCCTGTTTACTGCTCCCTGTAAGAGGAACCAATAAAAAAATTGAGAGTAAAAATGTTTGTAGCATTCTAGATAAAAAATAATAGTTACTGCTTAAAGAGAATATATGGCCAATCATAGGCAGAAGAATCTCAAGTTCCTATAAAAAAGTTAACAAATGGAAAGTTTAATGCTCGTAATGTTTATTACGCACTATTTGCTGGGTGCGCGGTGACAGAGGCACCTAACGGATGTTAGAGCCATCACTGAAAATACCAGAAATTTAGTCGATTTGAGATTAGGAATAATTTTACCTCAAACTGACAATTCTCTGTTGATCTGACAAATGACAGTTGACCCACATGATTCGATACCTCAGGGACCATGCCTATATTTCAATATCTGATGAATGATCAACTAGTAAGTTGCAGCACGAAAACTATATTCAGAGTTAGTCATTTCGATATTTTTATACAGGATATTAATCAAGTATGTACCATAAATTTAAGAGACGATAATTTAAGTAGTTTTAAGACAAAAGGTTCATATAAACATGGGCCGCAAATTTTTCGTTTTCAAGATACAGGGTGTTGAAATTAAAAAAAATGTGTTTTCGTAAATATCCTTTGCCTAACTTTGTTGTCATTTGGCGGTGGTATACAAAAAAATTGCATAACCCTGGACTACGTAATTAATATGGGGAAAAGTTTATTTTGGAAATTTTTGTTTGCATTTTTTATTACTAATTATTATATAACAACAACAACATATACTAAATAACATTAGCATCTAGATAAACAAATTTCTCTAAATTAAGTGTTGGAAATGGCCGCCTTTGGTTTTAATACAACCGACATGTTTATATGGACATTATGTCATAACATTAATCAAAGAATCGTCTCTTAAATGTATGGTACATGAATAATTATATACACTATAGATATTAGGAAGTTTTCGCAATCACAACTACCTCATACGTAAACATTAACATCGTTTGATACAGGGTGTCCAGTGGAAAAGTTCACTTTTTGATTTAAGAAAAAAAGTACAAACTTAATGAAAAGAAAATATTTATTACTATCAACATATTCGTAAATTCGGCGGGTTTTAGTTCTTAAATATCATTCCGTCCAAATGTTTGACATCCCTTAGGACACACTCTTCTAATCGCGCGCGCAAATTCTGAAACACCCTCTTGCAGAGTTCCGGAGTGATGTTTATTTCTCATCGAATGTTTTCTTTAAGCTCCTCCAGCGTTCGTGGAATATTGGAATACAGTTTTGACTTTAAATAACCTCATAAAAAATTATCGCATGGCGTGACGTCGGGTGACCTAGGAGTTAATGTTTCCAAACTTACGATATAACTTTTTGAGGAAAAAGTGCTTTCACGGTGTCCATCGATTCTCTGGAAGTATGGGCAGTGGCCCCATCTTGTTGAAACCATGTGTTTCTGTTGAATCGGAGTTCTGTTTTTACAATAGGAACAAAAAAGTGTCAATCATGTCCACGGCCAAATAATACCGCTAGAGGATATGACGCACCAAACAGTTACCTTTGGACTATGTAGCTGTTTTTTTATGATTCTCTTTTGGGTTCGTTTGTGCCGAATATCGGCAATTTCGCTCGTTCACATAACCGGCTAAGTGAAAATGGGTCTCGTCACTAAAAACAAAGTTCTCGGGTCTGCGCTGCGTAGGAAAATGATACAACATCCGTTTAGCACAAGATTTCCATAATAAGTAATCACTTTCCTTTAAAGCATGGACTGACTGGATTTTATGAGGATGAAAACCAGTTTCTTCTTCATTAATTCCATTCAGTGTTGACCTAGGGATTCCCAAAGCAGCGGAATGCTTCCGTGCAGAACGCCGAGGATTTGGAATGACCGAATCACTTACTCGACGAACATTTTCTTCGGTTGATACAGAAGGTGTGGGACCGGGAATAGGTTGACTAAGAGTAAAGCCTGTTTGACGGAACCTCCTGATCCACTTTTTCAATAGGTTCTTACTTGGGGCATCTCTTGGTCGTATCGTGTACAAAATTTCCGAAGGGCAGCTGCGTATCAATCACCACTCTTAAAGCAAGCCTCGATAGGAAAAGCACGTTGCGCTCCGGACCAACGTTCCATTGTGACTATTTAACCCGCATGCCAAACGCGTCGATTAAGACCTCTCCCCACTTCCTCGCGTATATGGTTGCCGCGTAATTCAAAATCTTTCCCACCGGACTCTGTATTTGGAATACATTAATCATTGGCTTAAATACCCGTATAAAAATTGACATTTTCTTGAACCTTGGTCATTTAGTTAGAAAATAAATAAAGCGCTTCCGGCTTCACGCTCTAATCTTCGAACGCCCTTTCTGCCTGTCAGCTTTGCAGATATGGAGAAAAAATTTGCTCCATGGTATGGAAAACCTTTTTTTATGTTCTATATTCTACGCTAGGTATGTACAACTCATGTGTGTTGAGTGTGAGAGGTGGGGCTGCTGTAAAAAACTTAGACTTACCCAGAGGCCGGATAGTAGTATGGTGGGGGCCTCTCGTATTCAGTCGGAGCTCTTTGGTACTGCGGTGGACCCCCGTTTGGAAAATCCTCCCAATGCCTAAGCGGATGTAACAAAAAAAACATCGTCTATACAAGGAAAAAGCCCGTTGTGTTTTTGTGTGTGTAGCGTGTGTCAATGCATGTATACGCAACACCACCGTACATACTGTTTGGTTCAGAGAAAAATCTCATCATAGTTGTCATGGATTTTTTTTGACTAGCTATAAAAATTATTTTCAGAAAATACAGGTTTTTTTCAAGATAGAAGAACATATTCAGCACGTTAAAATTACTGTTCGCCAATAAATGGCTTAATCGGCAAATAATCTAAGCGTTTTCTTAAGAAACGATTATCGTAATCCGTAATTTAACCACGATTTCGATAATAATTTATTGAAAAACGTTCAAGCGTTTTTTATCAGCGTTTATGTACGTTTTCCTCTTAGCAACCGATATATAAATTAAAAAATTTGATGTTCGAAATACTTATTCTTTTTATGTGAGAAATGTTGTTTCATTGACACACATTAGGGATATGATTTTTTAAATATCACTTATGCTTATGTGATTTGCTAAAATTATGGAACACATAAAAAATAAAATTGTAATCTGTTTTTTACAAAAATCGGTTAATAAGAAAAAAAACGATAAAACGCTTTGTGAGAATTAAGCGACTGAATAAATGTTTTAAACTTTTGAGCGAGTGAGGGTTAGGTTGGTTAAACGGGAACCATTTTAATCCACGAACGATATAAAAAAAAGTTCATATAAACATAGGTCCAGAAATGTTTCGTTTTCATAATTCAGAATTTTTAAACGTATCCGTCTGTGATAATTCACCTTATAAATTGAGATACTGAAATGAGTTTTGATATACGCAAATGTATATATATTCACGTGAAATCGTTCAAAATTATTCTCTAGAGCACTTACTTCAGTAGCATTCACGTCAACAAGTCTTGTTTAGCAGAATATATTATGACACTGGTTTATGCCAAAAGAAATATCATTATGTTGGCAATATGATTCTATCTATTTTGTTCAGGCATCATATCCCAAATATAAATAGTTTTATTAACCGTGTTATCGTAATTGAAAAAATAGTGATCAATCTGTTACTTTCTTTAATAACGAAAAACTGCAGAAATTAATATGGCGTTGAGGAAACAGCACTTATTTTTACAATAACCGATGACGTACAATTTTCCACTGAACGTAACGTTAAAGTATCACTGAAACGAAAAATTCCCGGACCCATGTTTATACGAAGTTTTATTCACGTTTCCGTACTGAGCAAATATTATGATATAATATCAGGAAGAAAATAATTTTGTATGTATTAAGAATTAAATTTATTTTGAAACAGTTAATTAACGATTTTTTGCCAATTGTTCTCTGAACCTCCATAAAATACAAACACTAGACAGGTGCATGTCATGGTAGATAAAGCGTTTGTAGAGTAAAGTGTGGGTGTCAAAGCAGACTACACAGCAAAAATGTACAGCACTACGAACAACTAACAAGAACATAAAAAAAGGGAAAAAAAACGTACAACAATTGATTTGGACGAAACGCAAACAACATTAGAGGGATAGTTCGCACCTAGCAATAGCAATATTATTAAAAGCGGGTTCTTAGATAGTCGCTGAAATAAAAAAGGGGGAATGAAAATTAAAAAATAAAAGAAAGGAAAATTAGGCGTAAATAATTAGTAATACACGCGACTGAGTTCAAAAACCTTCTGGAATCTAAATTTTAGAACTGAATACTGCACAATTTTACATATTTACTAATATCACTACCTGCAGATATATATATATATATATATATATAATCGATCCATCTTTATTGACCAGCGATATCAAAATGATTGAAACAGTAACAACTGAATATCTATAGAAAATATCAACAGCAAATTTCCACTGATATTGAAAAATTCGTGGGATGAGTGATACACTAAGATCGTCCTCTTATCTGCTGTTTGAACTCAGTCACAGAAATGAAAGTAAATAAAATCCAAGCAACATATTTATCATTGTCCATAATGACCATGCATGGCAATCTTTGTTTCTCTGCCAGTTGACGCGCACATGGTGGAGCAGTTCACCTGGTCGCGCATCTCGCCGCGATGCTTGTCACCATCATTACTAAGATCGCGACACGACTGATGGGCAGGGATGTTCAATGTTGCTCCCGCTAAATAGCGCTAGTGTGGTTGATAGTCAAACCAACAAGTAGTTATATCACGAGAAGATATTTTGTGGAAGTCTTTATAATCCGCTTGACAATGAGTTTCTTCTGCATTATAGTAGGGAAGCCGACCGCAAATTTTGGTTACATCATCGCGTGCTGATCAAAATACGTGAGATTTGAATACTTTTCAACATATCCCATAAATACGCGATTGTGACGTGCCAAAATCACGTGACCTTTTTTTTACTATTTTGATCATTTTGAATTACTCTTTATTAATGGTAGAGTTACCCCTTCCCCTTTAGCAAAAAAAACCTGATGAGAACAACAAAGCTGGTGGTTTCCACGCTGAAGATTAAAATCCCATAAGAAAATGGACGGGGATGCACCCATACCAAAACAACTAAACGTAAGGTATACTATATGAAGAGGTACTACTCGAAAACTGATGTTCGGCACCTAATATCCCAGAATCTGGAGGTTAAAGAAATAGCACTCTCACCACAATCTCAGGACGAAAGTGACTGGCATGAAACACCTAACTTTATAACCGAAGGTTCAATGAGTGGCCTTGAAGAAGATATTTTCAATAGAAAACCAAGTAACGGAGAAAAACCACAGAGTTTTTTTCCATCACTGAGAAGGAAAGATATAATACGTGTGAAATTATACGATCAATAAACTAAGTATGAAATTTACCAAAAGAAAATCATTGAAAAGGGTTTGGCCTAGGAATGGCCACTCTACCAATGATAAAGAGAAATCCAAATTACTAGTAAGTGATCAAAATAGTAAAAAAAAGGTTACTTGATTTTGGCACGTGACACGATGTCACCAAAACTTTACGGTCGGTTCGTGGATTACTGGATTACAAAAAAAGGCGGACCGTCATTGGTTGGGCGATTCGCTAACAGATAGCTCGACATTATGTCAAAGACGCACGACTTTCGCTCTGCATTTACTGAGTCAGTGTTGCCAAACCGACATAAAATGTTTAGAAAAAGCTACTTTTATACTGAGCTGATTGGAGTACGGTTCTTTTCACGGTTTTTGATGGTTGGGTTAAAAAGTCATACGAAATAAGTAAACATATCGTTTTGCCGCAAGGCTGTGTAGATACTAGCAACTATGTCAAATATACCGACGATTGGTCAAATAAGCAATTTGAAGTTAGAAAAAAAAACGAAATTGAAGTTGACACTTCTCAAAACTTAGTCGTGTAATATACCGCGTAGGACCATAAAGGTTAAATAGATATATGATAATTTACTGGTTTTGAGAATGACTCCTGTTTACATGACGCGAAGATCACTCGCGGAAAGTGTGATTTATAACTTTATTGAATGGAGAATATAAAAACGGATGATAAATATCCTCATGAGTGAAAGTCCAAACAAAAGTAAATTTGAACAAAGAATGCCTTCACTATGACATAGACAATGAATTCATCCAAAAAGCATTGTCTATCTGGCAACATCGGATTGATCTCTGATCAAATAAGACCAGCACGTGTTTAGACGCCATCAGCTGTTTTGTAGACTCTCTCTCTCTCTCTCGCTCTCTCTCTCTCGCTCTCTCTCTCTCTCGCTCTCTCTCTCGCTCTCTCTCTCTCATTCTCTCTCTCTCTCTCATTTTTTGGGTTTTTTAGATGGTTAATTATCTTCTGATCATAGATATAGAACTCGTCAGATATACGTGCATTATTATCACCAAGCTTTGAAAATATATTTAAGCAGAAATATATATATTTGTGGAAAAGCGATTAAAATAGAAAAAATGTTCGCTTTGTCTAAATGTCTTCTTGTGGTATAACTACTCTTTGATCAAACTGTCAAAAGTAGATCGAAAAAAGGCAGATTTGATAGATTGAGGTGAAGTTCGCTGGGGATTCAAGGTTGGAGAAATCGGAATTTCAGACTAACTTCTTCTCAATTACCCTGCAAACTTCGCTGAGGTGTTTATAACCTTAGACATGACCGCCAACCCACCTGGCGCCATCTTTTGGCTAAAAGATTCACCCTAAGAGCTGCTTTTAACTAAACCGGTTGAGCTACTTAGAGTGACTAGAAGTGCTCCACATATTTATGTCAACAGTTCCAACTGCGCTCCAGTGTCAGCATCACAAATATTTATTGTATTCCCATTTTCTAAAGCAAGTAGGGTGAATCACACTTCAGTTTACCCAGAACAATCCAAAAGCAAAACCGGTGCATACTACAAAAACTTTATTGTATATTGAATAGGCAGTTTTATGGTCATCCTGAACAATGATAGATCGAAAGTAGATTTACAAAATCCATAATAATAAACTCATAGAGAGGACAATCAACTTACTTGGGCGCCATGTCTCCATATCTCGAATCTGGCTGATGATGAGACCCCATTGCGTACTCTCTTGCCACCACTTCCCCGCCCATGTTCTGTGGGCGGTCCTCGTACTTTCGTCCCTTTTTTGCCTTTTTTTTACCCCGTTGCTTCCCATGACTGAAACAAATAGATTACGAATCACCATTGTGTTTATACGACGAGTATGCTGTCTTTTTCACGAGTATCCATCACGGCAGATTAACAGCTGATTATCTAGTAATATTTCAAAATTCTCCATATCGACACATGACGCAAGCAAGTTTTGCTAGATTTACACCTGACTCATTACTGCCGACGTTATAGACTAATACAAATATATCACTAGCTGATCAGTTGTTCACCCCAGTAGAAGTCAAAACTTGATGGATAATAGTGAAATAGGGTTTACTGGGAGTCCGGTTCTCAGAGGTTAAGCTGCTAAATCTATTAAAACCTCATTTACCTCGCGTCAAACCAAACACCAGTGTACGATCTTCAAATCCTCGCATTACTATTGGCTAGCAGGATTTAGATCACCGGACACTGAACGACAGGCACGATTGCTCTGGATTATTCAAGATATAGGGAATCTTCTACATAGTGGAAGTAAAATATAACCTCTGAGAACTAGATCAAAATCAATCTGTAAGTGCGTGAGTAACTATACGCTAAGAGAAAACTTTGTGACGAGAGAAATGATTAAAGAAAATATATGGATTAAGGGCTATGATACATTAGAGCTTTTGAAGAAATGTTAAACATTATAGAAAAGTAACATGTAGATGAGTAAATTACAAATAAACCTATTAGAAATCATAAGATGACCGAAATGCATGGGAAAGTAACATCAAAGTTTATAGAATAAATTCAGTCCGCATCCAACGCTCGGGGCTACTTGTTAACTAGACAAAATGTAACCTTTTCGGCTGCCAAAATGTGCAACTTGCCGCCAGTAATTGAATTCTTCATTATTCCTTAAACTTTGGTGATGCAGAGATCTAAGAAACCCAGGTACTGCGTGCATGCGAATGCGAACTCAAGAATGATCGATACAAAGGAATAAAAAAGGCGAATACAACAAATAATTGTTATGTTAACAGGTTAGAATATCAGCCTAACTTAAATACTGACTAAATACTATGAACATATATATACACTCACAATGTTATTTATTAATTACAAAATATATCACAAAAGAAATTAGAATTTGCGGAAAGATACAATTTACATGCTGACATTGAGAAACAATTTCGCAGTGTCCAATTTACCCTGGGCATAATTTTTCAAAAAAACTTAGTGCACGTACGTGATTTGAGTTCCGTTATTACCACAAAAAATTTACTTTGCGCCTTTGCTAAGCAAAATTTCCATCTCAGCGGACACAAGTGGGAAAAACTCAGCATATTTAGGTAATTTAATGAACAGAATTCGAATACGATACCCAAAAAATGCTGAAATGTCATGAAGTCAAATTTCGAGTATGAAATGCATAGATCCTCCGTGTGCCCCAGCGTCAAATCGACATCAGATGCAAAATTTACCAGGTAACAAGTTTCCATCCCATACATCGGTACTGAAAGATGTATGAAACTTTTCTCGAAAAGAGAATCGAAACTCTTCCGCTGTTACGGATAAAACTGTCCAGTTAATGTTTTCGTATATTCAAATTCTGTATTTGGATTAAGTTTTCTCGCCCCTATAACTCCATTTTCTCACTCCATATCAAACATGTAGATGCCGATTACTAAAAATTTCATTTTGTGATTTATCTGGTGTTTGTATTAACCTGACGATATGTTAAATAGGTGTAACGTATTTAAGAAATTTGAAAATGTTGGTATTTAGCTCAAAAATAAACGGAACCTGAAAGCAAACAACAACATCCCACACTTTACTTTGGAAGTAAGTAATCGCTGAAGCGCCGAAATCAGTGTAGTGCCTAAATCAGTATTTATAAATAATCAAATGAGAGCCCGCGCGCTGAAATAACGCAAAGGGTAGCAACAGCGACCAACTAAAACTTGAGAAGCACTAACATCATTTGTTTTTATCGTTAAAAAATCTACTTCCGTTCCGGAAACACTTCCAGACTTTCTCTCGAAAGCTAGACTTTACAATTCAGTCGAGTAGTGTGGCCTTTCCGTCTTTAACGTATGGGCACACGGGGACCGTGCTCAGTGCCCCAGCTTGACGGAGCTTTCAAATGCCAGAAAAAGTAGGGCCCAAGACTGCGCTCTGTTTTGGGCCCGCTTCAACCGCAAGCCCGAGATTCTAAACCTCCATGTTTGTCTGGGGGTTAAATAAGACAAAATGCTGAAATCAGGCAGCGCGAAGCGCCATCTACCTCTAGAATCGACCACTGCGAACAGTGGGTAGCAGCTACCGGTTGGAAATCTGAATATCTCCGCAATTGGAGGCCTAGTCACCACGTGACCGCTAGATGGTGACGGTTCTAGCTGTGTAGTACGAGTAGATGTGGTCTACTTGCCTTTGAACAACCTAAACATACTCCATGGCCAACTGTCTAGAACTAGTATCTCATCTCTAGGACAATGAATGAAAGCATAGCTTAGTTACTATACCCTGTCAAAAGCGTGAGATCTTCATTCATTGTCCCAGAGGCAAGAGACCAAGCTATGCTAAGGAGTAGTCAAAAAAAAACGGCTGTCCGTGGTTGGCTGTGTTTGATAGGACGAGCGAAAGCAGCATTTTTTATTTGAAACCACATATGTTTGAAATATTGTTTACTGATACGATGCTCATGTTCAAGTACAAATGACAATTTTATTTGGAAAATGTCACCCTGATGGCCGAAACGTCGTATCAGTGAGCAGTATTTCAAACATAGCCCTGTCCATCCTGTCAATGATCGCGTCCAAGATTCAGCCACATAAATTCCGTTCATTCTGCTATGCTACTATATATATAGGGTGTTAGGGAAATAATATTCGTAACCTTAAGAGGAGATTTCTTCCATTATTCTAAGCAAAAAAGTTCATTATACCCTATGTCCGAAAATCAACCGTTTCGGAGCAAAAAAATGCTGTACTTATTTCTTTTAAGTCATGTAATAAATTAATTTTGCACTTTAATAATTTAAATTCATATGCCTAGTAGCGTAAAATGTATCAATACATCTATTTATTAATTAACTGTCTCTAACAAAATAATTTTCTTGCTTACTACAATTTTCTGAAGAAGAACAGACAAACAAAATTCCTCACACAACTGGCAACGTCGTACTCCGCCTGCACTGCATGCATCATTGCGTGTTGTTGTGATTACTAATACATTTATTCAACTGTAACTTTATGTGTTTTACGGATGATGTTTTTTTTTCTTTTTTAGTGCATCGCATCGTTTCAAATAAGTGACTGATATTCGTAGGAATTATCGTACCGGTAAGTTCTGTAAATTTTTTTGAGTAAATTTACTGTACTGAAAGTGTTATTAAATAAAAAATATTAAAAAAATATATATAATTCAAAGCATATTTTCAACAACAATGTCATACAATTCGATGAATCAGTTGCGGTCGTCGTGCGATCGTATCGTGGTTGCGTTGCAGCGTTGCCAAATGTTTGAGAAAATTTAATTATTTACTACTCACTTTCCTCGAAAAAGATTGATTTTCGGAGATAAGTTATAATGAACTTTTTTGCTTAGAATAATACAAGGAGTCATCTCTTAAAGTTACGAATATTCTTTCCCTAACACCCTGTAGACAGAATTCACACGGCCTGTTCCCAGACACAGTCACCGACGACTGTACAATCAGACCTCATATGTGGTTTCATTTAGCGGCCAAACATGGAGGATTATCAGTGTAAGAACCACATGTTTCAGATGTTACATCAACACCGAGATTCTTTGTGAGTCTTAAAACGGCCCCGAGTGAGGAAATTACACTGGGCTATTTTCTACATAGAAATAGTAAAGTCAGCATTTAAGCTCATATCACAAAAGCATTCACTAGCATGCACGACACGACAGGCTACTTACCTGTTCAACGGTATATTATCTCGATCAGCGTATGCATCATATAAATATTCGCTGCAACATACCACACAAAAACAATGTCATACTAATTACCACATTCAAAATACTTGCAACATCATACAAAATATACTTCACAGTAAGCGGGGCATACGATTTAAAAAAAAGTTTTAGTCATTTGATGACATGTTATACGAACGCTAAAAGCGTCGCGCTTTTAATGCAGATAATACTTTCATGGATACGGACCCTAAACGCATTACCTTGACGTACGCGCTGGTTGGATGGTTGCTAAAGGAAATCCTACTGGAACGTCAAAAGTGTACTTTCCCTCCCGCAGGCTAAACCTTGGGACTAAGAGTGTTGTCACTTGTCATTCTCGTGGTTCATTGTTTATTTACTTTATTTGATTATCAAAAAAATTGGTTAAATATACATTTTGCGCGATAAATCGACTACCTGGTATCCATAGCGTTTCTTATAATAAAAAAATGGTCGCAGAAAACGTGGTTAGAAATTAGCGAGCTGTCATCAAGTTTCATTATAATAGCTCTGTCATAATTTAGCCGTCCTAAATACAAAAAAGTTACACAGTATTCCACAGTAAAATTTACGGTATTACATTGTCAAGTGATTTACAAACCCACCCCTGGCAGGAAGACCATCAATGACAGCGACAAAGGATTGGCTTTTCACTTGCCGATATCACGACGTCGCGCCAATAGCGTTGCATTTCGATATTTTAAATTTTGATTTAATGTTGAAGGTGGCTTTCTGAGGAAATATAGACTGTAAATAAAAATTAATAACTGAATCACATGCATATCCCTAATTAGGCGCGACGCATTTAGCATCTGTACAGCATGCCCCATAGCCCCTTGAGAAATGCAAATCGGTCGTCATATATAAGGAAATTAAAATAAAAAATTATATATATATATATATATATATATATATGTTCAAAATTAAAGTTAAAATATATAACTGTTTTATGTATACATATCTTTTCAATAACTGCTATGAAATTTTGGATTATTTAGAATTCTTGATGTCGATTTATTAGAAAGAAAAAAAATCATCTAAGCTTAGATGTATAACTGTTTTATACAATTTCCACTCCACAATTTGATACCGCAGCTTAAACACGATAAAAACATATATTGTAGTTAAAAAATGTGTACTTACGTTTCAACGTATCCGCCATTTGGTTTATATTTTTGATAAAGACTGGCCAATTTTACAGACACCACGATCGTTGGAATGAACAGGGCTAGTGTGAGCAGCAAGGTTACCCAAAAGCCATTCTGAAAGAATCATAAGATAGTAGTCAGCAACAAGCTGAAAAAAAACGGACGGAAAGAGGAAATACGTCAGTCAAACGTTGTTGCAAGACAGACCCACCAGGCTTCTTTATTCCAACTCGATCGTACCCGATTCGCGATACATGCTTCTTTTCCTCTGTTGTATCACTCTTCGTCGATTTATAGCGTGGGTCAAGAAGCACACATTCTTTATAGCATAGATTAGCGTATTCTTAAAAAAAATTTCCAACCCTATGGTGTATTAGGTCGATCAGAAAGTTGGAGGGTAGTCTTGGCTAACAAGATGTAAAATAGAAAACTCTTGATGACACAGCCGTAACGCAATAGAATATCAGAGGGTCAGATAGAAAGGTTGTTCTTTGTTCATGTCAAGCTTTCGAAAATGATTTATCTTGAGGACGTGCTTCTAGAATTTGCCTGAACTTACAAAACTTACAATATTAATTTTTCTATTTACAACGTTGAAACCCTGTTTCCGCTTTTTGAGATCGCTTGTCCTGAAACAGGATTTCAACGTTGCAAGTAACTTTTTTATTGATATTATAATGAGTTTGTGATAAACTTGGAACACACGTGATTTGCTAGACGTTCTAGTCTGTATTTGACTAGGAAAGCTCTGAAGAGTTCGAAAAGGATGAAAAAAACTACGTCCGCGCCTAGATAAATTATAACAAAGTTTTTAGGCAAATCTCCCGACGGCTCAGGTTTTTTTTATTCAGCATAAATTTTTATTTACTTCATTTAACATTTAATTGACACCATAAATGTACGAAAACTGAATACTTTATCTCCAAACAATACACGCAGCCACCGTAAAACCTGACCATCTTATCACTTGTTGTTCATGGCAAGATAAATCGATATGTAAAAAATTCTTGTATTCTAATACACATACGTAATTGTTTACCTTTTTTGTCACTAAGTAGATTAATTGTTATGTCTAGTTAGCGAAAATAAACAAGTATATTACTTATTAGAATTTTATTTAATACACAATAGTGCGAAATCTTTCATAAAAAGGTGTTCAATATCACCACCATTTTCGCTCCAGCACATAATACGGCGTAAAAAATTTTAGCACTTGATGAGAATTTTTTTTAAAACCAGCTCCGAAAAACATTTTTTTTTATCGAAAACTGTTGCCTGTTTTATAAGACGAATGAAGTAAATAAAATAATATTTTATATATAAAACATTTAGAGTTGTTGGGAAAGCCGAGAACAGATTCTGCTACAATTTATGTAGGGGTGGGGGTAGTTTTCACGCTTCTTGAACACTTTCGAGCTTTTTATAAAAGTAAAAAATTTAGACGTCTAGCAAAGCACATGTGTTTAAAATTTCGTTCAAATCGGACTATAGGTTCCAAAAATATCACAAATTGAAGAAAACTTTGACGCCCTGTAATGGACAAACGATGCACTTTTGCATAGAGGTATATGATGTCGATATCGATTCTCACGGAATTCTAACAGATTGCGCAAGAATTTTTTTTATAAAATTTTTGCCTTTTTTACTCCACGGACTTTTTTTCTGTTAGCCCATCATATGAATCAGATAGCCCGTTTATTCTAAAATCTTGACGCGATAATTTGGCGCGGAGATATCTGACTTTGAGTGACAAAGGATCCTTTTGTCATCTACCACTCATATCTCGGTAACCAGTGATCTCCCAGAGAATGTAAAGGTATTATCGAAAACTGGAATAAGTCCCCAATAAGATTTGAGCTTTTTTATACCTCAATGTACCCCTAATAACCCTGCACGACGGCAGATCGATCCATTGTACTCTTTCTCCGGACAGACAAATTCCTAAGTCCGCCTTTGATATCCCTCAAAAATATTTTCTAGATCCGTTAGTGAGTATTTTTGTTTTTGGGAATAAAAATAAAGAATAAAAATTTTCCAATTGCTTTTTATAAAGTTGCAGGTGATATTCAATAGTGAGAACAAAAGAAAAATTATTTTTCCATTATCAACCAGATGTTTTGATAGAAAAATGTTGCTCATTTGACTGAAACTTTGACCAATCGGTCCGGAGAAACCGTACGATTTACGATGGATATACAGTAATGGACAAAAGTATATAGACAAATTAATATTTTGCTGTATTTCTTATTAAGTTGTTTTATTAATACACCAACCTGTATACATAATTCGTTATAGCAAAATACTCATACATAAATAAATTCATTAGACTCCCTTCAATAAAAAATTAATTGAAAAAAACTGGAACTATGAAGGACAAAACTATATAGACAATTATAGAAAAATGAAGCAAACTTCATTGAATTAATATAGAACACCCACCATGTTTGTGTTAATATTTTTTAGCATAACCATTATTATCAATCACCGCCTGGCATCGTCTCGGCATAGATTGTAGAAGTTTCTTCATATAAGATCCATCAATCTGTCTTCACTTTTGCTCTAAAGCGGCAAAAAGTTCATCCTTATTTGAATAATGTTTATCTCGTATTTGCTCATCTAAGTATTCCCATAGATTTTCAATGGGGTTTATATCGGGAGACTGTGAAGGCCATTTGAGAACTGGTATTTTTTCATCCAGAAAGAATTTCTTTGAGAGATTTGAAATGTGCTTCGGGTCATTATCTTGCCGGAAGATTGATCTTAAGGGCATACTGTCTTCCATATAGGGTAACATGACATGCTTTAGTATGTCTGTGCATACAAACTTATCCATAATGCCATCTATTTTATGTAAAGGTCCCATCCCAAACCCCGAAAAGCACTAGGACATCTAACGTCATGAACACCATCTGACCCAAACATATTGAACTTGGATTCGTCACTGAAACATACCCCCTTCCAGTCACAAATGTTCCAATCAAGATTCAACCGTGCAAATTGTAATGGGTCCTTACGGTTTTTCCTCGAGATTAGCGGATTCTTACTCGGGCGACGTGCAAATAACTTTAAATCATTTAATCTTCTACTTATAGTTTTCGTAGAAATACTGGTAATTCCTTTTGACTCGATTTCGGCTTTTATTTGTCTTGGGGCTGTAAACGGATCTTTGGACGAAAGTACTTTTATCAATCTAACTGATCTAGCATTTAATTTTCTAGGCCGACCACTTCTCTTAGAGGCTTCCAAGATACCGTTTTGTTTATATTTGTTCAATATTGCCCAAACTGCTTTACGCTTCAGCTTCAAATTTTTGGCAATGTCGACTTGACGTTGACCATCTTTGTATAACTCAAGAATCTTAGTTTTTACATCGAGAGAAATTTGTAGACCACGCGGCATGGTCTGGTCTTAAAATCACTCAACCTATTTCACAATACTTGATGAACACAAACTAATCTTCTTCTGACACGAAACTGTACTAAACTAATGTTAAAAAGAATTTGTCTACATATTTTTGTCCCTCATAAAAAATTGCTTCTTTTCAGAGTTGTATTATGTTCATTGCAGATAATGTAAAACAAGGAATTTAGATTTTCTACTAATAATGCATTTTTTTATGGAGCAATGAAGCATGAATTTGTTTTCTAATGGTATTTAGAGGTAAATATTCATATATGTCTATATACTTTTGTCCATTACTGTATCTGCCGTCGAACATTGAGGCATAAAAACCCTAAAAACAGCAGCCCAAAAAATGCGGTCGAATTTCCAAAACAAGGCAAAAAGTGTCTTTTTTACTTTTTTAAAATCAACACCAACAGAAAAAGATTGTTTCAAGTCCCTTAAAAAGAAAAAGGCAAAAGTTTTACAGAAAAATGTTCTTGTACTATCTGTTAGAGTTGCACAAGAACCGTTGCTCCTAAAATGTTTCCGCTAAAAACCTGAAAACTAGAATCGTGAGGTTTTAAAATGCTTTTTCAAAGTCTAGATACGACCATTTTTCACCGAAATAAAGCCTGGCAAAAATCACCGTAAAATTTGGATCTTTTTCTCGCTTCCTTAATTTTTTTGAGTACTGTATTAGGACACCCTGTATAGTAAAAAGAGAAACAACTGTGATAAATTCGCATCGCTGACGCTACGGTATCTCATTTTACCTAGAATAATTTGAGGCGCGAATATATACCCCAAAGATGCAGCGCGGCAAAGCGGCAGCCGCCTAAGCCTTGCAATAGCTATTGGTCATTCGACCATAAAACTACGAACAAGTGCAGGATTCGACAAGAGAGAACTCAGGCCCGGGGTATCGCCGACACGCCGACGCCGGCAGTTGCTGTTCGTATTCGGTGCATACATAGCGTCTGTTTATACGTTAGCATGTCGTCTACGGGTACAGCAGATGAAACTGAGAATATTTCTCCCAATGCTTCCTCTTCCGTAATGTCTCCTCCTTCTTAAAGAATATTAAAAAAAAAACAAAAAATTGTCTCCCCCACACAAGAGGCTGCATTACTCGAAGCTGCTGGATACAGTTGATAACTTTGATCGGAATGCCATCAGATGCAAAGTCCAACAATTTTTTGAAAGGAAGGAACTTCCCACCATAGACAAATTATTAAAGGAGGTTAATAGTGATGAAGACTTGCCTACTTTCAAAAGGACCACCTTCTACAGTTTACTCGAAGAACTTTATTTTGAGTATAGAAAACGGGGCAGAAATAGTATTTTGATGGACAGCCAAGAGATTATTTTATGGAGAAGAAATTATTTAAAATCAACAAAGAAATACCGCGATCAGGACAGGAAGATTTAAAACTTCGATAAAACCTGGATAAATGCAGGACATACAACACCTAAAGTATGGGCTGACTCTACAATTGAATCAGCAAGAAAAGCCTTCTTAGATGGACTAACCACTGGCCTAAAGAATCCGTCAGGTACGTGTATCTAACCAATTAGTCATTTGTGTTATAAAAATGGTGTCAAATAGACTGAATCTATGAGCCCACGCTGAAAACTTACTACTACTACTAACTGAACTGTTAGATATTCTGCTTGTATTATTATTAGTTTTCTTGAATACTATATGAAATAATTATTTCCAGGAACAGGAAAACGATTTGTTATCTGTCACAATGGCAGTGAAAATGGCTTTGTGTCCACTGCCCTATAAGCATTTGAGTCAAAGAAAACGACCGACTACCATGAAGAAATGGACGGGAGATTATTTGAACGATGGTTTGAAGAAACGCTCCCAAAGCTTGACGACAATGCCGTCATTGTACTTGATAATGCTGCATACCACACAAGAAAACTAGAAAAAATTCCCACAATGTCCAAAAGAAACAAAAGAAAGGCAGAAATTCAACCCTGGCTGCTATCAAAAGACGTTAGTTCCAATGAAAATATGGTCAAAGCAGAACTTATCCATCTAGTCAGGCAACAAAAATATAAATATAATCTTAATGTTATTGACGAAATGGCTAAAAACCAAAATAAGACCGTTTTATCACTGCGAATTAAATCCCATTGAAATGATTTGGGTGAATATCAAAAAACTATGTGGCTTCAAACAATACGACATTCAAATTTTCTGATGTGAAAATTTTGTTTCATGAAGCTTTCAATAGAGTGACGACAAACCATTGGAAAAAATTGCATCCGTCACGTTCAAGAGACAATCGAAACAAAGATGTGGGATCTGGACAATAATATGACCCATGTTCGAATTGAAGCTGTAACAGTTAATATTAACCATTCGGCCGATGATTCACGAACTTCTAGCGATTAAAGAATTGTGTAAAGTATGTACACTTCTTTCTATAAAAATAATCATTTATTTTGTTAGATTATTCCAAGACCACTGAGGAAAATACGGACCTGTACAATCTCGCTTTTGGGTATGTTGTGTTTTGTCTAGGCGTAAATGGACTACGAATGGGGTATAGCATTATTTTAGTTATCTTTAGGTTGATTAATGATTTCACTTACCAAAGGCAAAAGTATCTTGTCGCACGTAGCTGTCAAAGTAGATTTTACCACGTTGCTCAAAGGACCACATTTGGCAAAATCATGTTTTATAGTTTGTTCAAGAAGATCGATATAGCTGTTCACTTGAGATGAAATTATATCGCCAAATTTTTGCACAACCTGAAATAACGTCAAAATTAAATTCAAATGAACAGTCATTATTATCGTTACTATGAGATTTATTCATATACAATGATCATAGTCTCAATGATCGGTGTTTACCTCCTGAATCAAAACAGATCCTTTTTCTTTGAGGACGTGCTCAGCACTGATAATTTCATCCATTAGCGTCTGAATTGCTGTGTGGAAGTCCGAAGAATTCATACGAAGACTCTCGTCCAAATCAATAGCAGTTTCCTAAACAGATTAAGTATGTTGTGATATATAGACATAGCATATGTATCTAATAACATACAGTAACGCAGCTCTTTGAAAGGCACGTTGAACCTTTGGGTAAAGTACCAGGCGCAAAACACAGGGAATTTGGCCACCGCACCGGTCAATTTGAATGAAAATTCGTTTATTAATAGCAGTCTAATCATATAAGCAAATGTCCCCGAAATAATTGTAAAGTCTGGTTTTATTGATGCAAGTTGTTCAAGAGGGTATTTAAAACATGGACGCATAAAATGGGTACACCAGTTTTTGTGGGATCTTTTTACTTGTGGCTTCATTCTGTAGGTCTAATAAATACCTAAAAATCTTATTTGAAGAGCTTTTTCGTTCCTGCCAACGCATTCGATTGAATTTCAAAAAACATGTTTTCTCATTCTTTGTTGTCGAATAAAAAGTTTTCCCACAAAAATTGGTATCCCCATTTTATGCGTCCATGTTTTAAATACCCCCTTGAACAACTTGCATCAATAAAACCACATTTTACAATTATTTCTCAAATCAGGGTTTTTTCCTCTAATATGATTTAGAATATGCTGATCAAATGTTCAAATGAACGCAAATCGCAGAATGATTTCTGTTGGACATACAGGGTGTTAAAGTTTGGTATCTTAGCCCCTATGGATAAGCCAGCCTGTAACCATTTTAAAAAAACTAACTCGCCTTTATTGTAGACTTGACGAAATAATAAAAATCACGTGAACACATACAATATGTGACCCAATGAAAAGCCTCGTCTCGCAGCAAGTTGAGTTTTCAAGAAAAGCAAAGTTATTTCGAAAAGGAAAAGTTATAAGAAGAAAAGTAATCCCATGCTTCCATAAAACAGGGAGATTCATACACAATTACAGAGCTGTACTTATATTTGTAAACAAGTTCCGATTTAAGAAAAAATGCACAAAAAATGCATTTTTTGACAAAAAAAAAACGAAAACGGTTTTTAGTCATCTCTATACACACCATGAAATTATTAGATGAAAAGGATTTAGAATACTACTGCAAACAGAAAGTTTAAAAAAAATCTGGAAAAAGGACGTGCCTCCTTAAAGACGAGTTAGTTATCGTAAAACGGTGCGGCGTACGCACAGGCACCAAACTTTAGCACCAGGTATCTCCAATAGAAAGCATTTCTGGGCTTTGCGCCTATTGGAACATTTGATCAGCACAACATGAACTATAACTATATGAATTTTCTTAGAAATTGACCGGTGGAAAAATTCCATATGATTTGTGCCTGGTACTTACCATGACTTTCAGGGTGTCCACATTCAGAACTCAAAAAAAAGATATGAGAACAATGAGATTTTGGAAGGAAAAGTGAGTAAAAAAATGAGTCAATTGCCAACTTTTCTCTGGTCATGTCATTGATATAAACGAAAAGGTCCCAAGTGGTCACTGTATTGTGAACATCTCAGAACAATGAGAAAAATAAAATAAGCAGCAAAAAATGAACAAAATTGCGCAAAATGCGACCTTGCAAACTCGGCACACGTTGCGAAATGCTGTTATACAGTATTAAATAAAGTTGATAGGCTTCAGTCAAAATGATATGAATTTCTGTAATGCATTTCAACAGAAAAAGAAAGTCAAAATGAGTATTGTATTGTAAAAATATTACTTACAATGGCTTCATAAGCTGTGTGATTCATTGGTTTCAGAAGTTTTTCATTATAGGTGTCTATATGGAGAATGCTCAAATTAAGTTCAGACTTTGTCTGTAAGTAACGTTCATCGTCTAAGATGGCCACTATCTCCTTCAGTTTGTCTAAAATTTCATCCAGGCTCAGGTTGGTGAAGTTTTGTTTCAACTGAAACGGAATATTGGATGTTATTTACCTCAATACTTCTAACACGTCGAGACGTGACAACAGATCACTATTTATTCACAATCAAAGTTGTGTCAGCTTTTTCGCACAAAATAATTAAAAATGTTTCGGTATATAATCATTTGAAGTCTGATAAGAATTGAGTGGATTTTAATAAAACTTTTGTGAGGATTGTTCTACCTTTCAACAAACTTACTATTGTCAACAGTACAGAACTAACATAAAAGGGCACTGGAATATTGGTGAAATAACGTGAATCGTGATAAATAGTGTAAAGAAACTACAAAAATAATCGTATTTCTTAAGAATGCTCAGTTACCAGAAAAATCTTCGAGATGTTTTTGTAGAGATGGAGAATTATTATGCAGAAGCAGTTGTATTTTTTAGTACTCACCTCGTCTTGGAATTTACCAAAATCGACTCCAGGATCGAAATCTGATAATTTTTCCAATGTTTTCCTATTAGTTTCATCCAATAAATAGAAATCATCATCAATGATGTTATTGACATTATCCTGCATGTCTTTAATATACTTTGATAAATTGAATTGCTGTTTTATTTCTTCCAAACTAAACTTTCTCTCCAACTCAAATACTTCATAAAGCGTTTCATTTCGATAGCATCTAGAAGAAAGTTATCAATGTCAACCTCAATATAACTATTATTCCGTTTTAACGCAAATACAGTAAATAATCATTGGGCCATTACCTTATCAACATCTGTTTAACATCAATCTTCAAGTCCGAATGGTCTGACAATGATTTAGTATAATCGCTAATCACGTCCAGTACAGTGGAACTCTCTGGATTTCGTAGTGGATAGCACACTACACGATCTGTCAACAGACCTCCTAGAAGTGCTACTATTGTCACTGCCGCTATCACGAAGCCAAATATGAACATTATCATTACGGCGCTAAAAGAAAACGGGTGATTATAATAAAAACTTCTTATGAAAGACTAGAGAATAAGTTATTAAATACGCAAAAATGCCAGGGCCAGTCTGTCACTAAGCTGCCATCCTGTTTCACATCTCTGTCGGTTTTTAGCTGTGTGTTTATACTGCTTTGTTTATCCCCATGTCAATCAGTAAACCTTCCGACTGAGAAGTGCGCTGAGTAATTCGGAAACAAAGTTTTTCTTGCTGAGATTGATCATCAGCTTGTTGAAATAGGCAGGCTATTCAAACTACGGGTGGAAGAACACAGACGCAACTGGACAACTTTCGTTCAGAATTACTGGATCGCCAGCCATACAGCTCTGACTTGCCACCATCAGACTTTCATCTTTTCCCGAAGCTTAAGGAATTTATTAGTGGAAGCCTCTTGGAAAATGAAAGAAACAATTACTAAATGGTTTAACGGTTAGGCGTCAGGGTGCTTTGACGACGTGATTCAAAAGCTGATGCCATGACTTGACAAATGTTTAAATGGTTACGGCGACGATGGTGAAAAATGAAAAAAAAATGTTTGTATATACTAAGTGACATATAAATCCGAACACCCAGTTTAAATGGTTTTATTTTAATAAAATTTTGTATAAGTACTTAATGAAGCATAATAAGTAAATGATAAAAATTTCAAAATGATTGCACTGCTTTAAAGCCCTTTGAGCTTTAATAATGTGTGGATGCACCCTGATATGCTACGCATTCTCCAACGCGCCTAGGCATGCTTCTGATCAGGTGGTCAATGTCCTCCTGTGGTATCTCATTCCAGGCAACCACCAACTCCTCTCGAAGTGCTTCTAGAGCCTGAGGAGGACGTTGCAAATTGAGCAATCTCCTACCCATCATATCCCACACGTGCTCAATTGAGGATAAGTCGGGAGATCTTGGTGGCCATGGTAACAATGTGACATCATTATGTTGAAAGAAGTCTATTGTGACCCTTGCAACATGTGGTCGGGCATTATCTTGTTGGAAAGTTGGATCTGCCAGGGTGTCAAGATAGGGTAAAACATGGGGTTCTAGAACTTCGTGGATATAACGCTGCGCGTTCATGTTACCTCTGATGAAGATTGAAGGTGACCTGGAACCATAAGCTATAGCACCCCAAACCAAAGCTCCAACAGTGTGATGAACATGTCTTTCAACAAAAAACTGTGGATTCCTCCTTTCACCACGTCGCCTTCTAACCCTGGCACGACCATCGTGCATGCCTAAACAAAATCAAGACTCGTCACTAAAGGCAATACTGTTCCATTCCTGATCCCAGAGTGACCGTTGTCTGCACCACTCAAGGCGATTACGTCGGTGTTCTCGAGTTAAAGGGAGGACCCAGTGTGGCCGGTATGAAAACAAGCCAAAACTTCTCATCCGTCGGTAAACACTTCGCATGCCAATAGGTGTTCCGTGTTCTGCAAACCATTCATTTGCAATGGACCTGGTAGTGGAGAAACGGTCCCTTAAGGCCTTCTCGAAGCCATGCCTGACAACACCTAACCACAGTGTCTACACTTCTTTGCACTCTAACTGCAATTGCCCGAAAAGAAAGTCCAGCTTCCCAAAGTCCCACTATACGGCCCCTATCAAACTCACTAAGTTGACGAAATCGTACAGGTCTCCGTACTCTAGGCATCGTAACCGATCGTAAAGGATGTCAAGAACCAAAATCTGCCAACGTTGATTCTTTACCCCTGCTGAAATATTCATTTTTAGAGCATTAGTGAATTAAAAAAAAAAAGCAGTATAAAAACCGGAATGTCCAACTGATAGGGCTGAAAATTTTTTCACTTGTTATTTACAGTAAGATAAATACATTCACCAACTGTTATTAAAATAAAACCATTTAAACTGGGTTTTCGAATTTATATGTCACTTAGTATATTTAAGTTTGTGATTCAATTTACATTCACAAACGAAGTTTCTCCATTACAATACGGTTCTTACTGAAAATTGTCTGTCGTACGTGGGTTGGTGCTTATGCTTATACGAGTATGACTTAGGAAGCAATCTCAAATTACTAGGGGGTCTGGCGAACATGACGGGTAGACATGATTTTACTCAGCCACGGTGCAACAAAACCGCTTGGGTCACAAATTCAACCAATAAGAAAGCGTCTTTGCCAGGCAACCCAGCTGTATACTGTTCTACTATTATTTATCCATAAAATTCAAGTTTTATCAAAAAGCAGATACCTGCAAATTTATGTGGTTGGATCTCGTACTTTAACCTCAGATAATCTGCGCATGCACCGTAGCTGGTACTTGCCCTCAGTCAAGCGTCAGCGTCAAGTTTTGGGGTAATTTTTTTCTCATTTCGCCCGTCCTCCTGGTATAACAAGATAAGGATCCTATGCATGGGGATCTCAATTAATGTGAGAGATACAGCTTAAATTAAATTAGGAAAAAGTTGCGTTCTTTGGGCCGTTGGGAAACTTGTAAAAAATTTCATGGCTTACTGAGATACATGGGAAAAATTAAAATTTGGCCAAATCATTTCTATTTTTCCCGGCTTTATTTTACTCATGAAACTTTTTCATTGACACTTTTTATGCACTACATGATGGAGAGGTACACCCTGTATCGGTATAGCATTTTTTATGTGAACGAAACGATGTATCACATGTTACATTTATTTTCTTGGTTATAAGGAACAATGCGTTTTTTAATCTTCTTTATTTTTTCAATTAGGCGTTGCAAGCGAATGCTCCACTTGACGTAAATTCCTGTCATCGAGAATTGTTGTTATTGCTTTATTATCGTCAACGATGCCAGACGGTCATTTTAGCAATGAAGAAAAGTTCGGCATGCTGAGGTGCTACATTTTGGACTGCAAAAATACTAAAAATACTGCAGAAATGTATCTTGATAAATTTCCCGAAAGACGGCAGCCAAGTAAGTCCGTTTTGGAATATGGTGCATTCAAAAAGCCTGTTACGACTCGAAAAAAAAAAGAACCTTTAGAGGAAACTCAGAATACTGTTTTACAACCAGTTGCTGAGAACTCAACTAGGCAAGTTGAGAACAATTTTTAGTGAAAAGGAATAAAGGAACAAAAAAGACGCTATCCAAATGTCTGATGTCTGGGCTTTCTCACGCAAAAATCGTTAGGTCCGTAGCTCCGTTATCTTCGGAGGAGATAGAAATTGAACATCGAACAGCACGTTTTTGAGATCCAAAAAAGGGCAATATTACGACGTTTGAAAATTATTTATTCGAAACGGGTGCCATAAATGGAAAAAACTCTTCTCGGTAATTTATAGTATTCGTCAAGATGTACAAAATGGGCTATGCGAAATTTCTTTTCTCTTTGCCGTAGAGAAGTTGTCTGCTTTTTAACGAACCATTAGTCGTTATTCAGTTTTTGTTGTATTAATTCCTAGAAACAAAACTAGGATGCGGATCAAAAGCGGACCCAGAAAATCCGAAATGCCTGTCATTTGGCTATCTAATGAGACCATCCCGAGTCGATATTTTGAGAAATGACGGAACGACGGCGGAAATCGCTCGGGTGACAAAAATCTACCCATTTTCGCTCGTAAAGCGCCAAGTTTGTTTCTAGTTTCCGAAATGATATCGTTTTCCGATAAAACCTTTCGCGAACCGTCAAGAAAATCGGAATAACCGCGCCAACGTCGAAACGCCCCGATCCATTTTCGAGAGGGGGAAGTGAAAAAAAACGAACAAAAGATCACCGCTTAATATTTTCGATCTTTATTCGCTACAAAACTCATTACTGGACTCACGAAAATCTGGGGGCTGTGATGGTTCAGAGTGTTCCGACCATGTGAATTTCCCGCGCGTGCAGTCAACAGTTTAGCGGATAGTGTGCGCACAACGGCAACATTGGAGGAACTGCGTACAGTTCGCCCTAGACACTCAAGAAGAGGAGACGCTCTTGCGCCGCTGCGGCCAACGTCTTGTAAAACTCTTTTTGTTGTCGGAGAATATATGTAGTGGATTATCTAGTGAATTTTATTAACCACGTCAATCCCATTTTTGGCGCCCAACGTGGAGCCTGGATAATGTGCCTTTAGCGCAGGTTAATAGCTGTTGGTTTCAACAAGAGGGTGCTCCTGCACATAAGTAGGTAATTTTGAGAGTGTCTTTCTCAGGGATTGGAAAGTGGACTGAAATAGTTAAGTTATGTTAAAGCAGGTTAGGTTGTTTTCGAGTAATACTTTGGTCTTTGGTGTTCCTGTCTTAAGGTATTCTACTCATAACTGCCTTTTTCAAATTAAAAACTACCCACTAAAATTATTATTAAGGTATCACTCAAAACCATGAAATAAAATGATCAGTGAAATAACCTATCTTTGCAAAATCATAATATAAATTTGTTGTCATTAATCAAATCCAAGCGGATAACCAAAATTTCCGTATTATGTACCGCGGTTATAATATGGTTCAAGATGACACACGGGATGGTGACGTCAGTTACTCGAATCGCTTGAACGCGTTGGTTTTAACCGCGGTTTTGTTGCAAGTTGTTTATTTTAGAAAAGCGCGTATATAATCTCTAATTATTTTTATTATCACTTAATAATCGGTGCTTTTTCGTCTACAACTGTATATGGAAAGTTTAAATAAGAAACCTTTCATAATATTCATGGGAGACATGTTTTTCATATTTTTTGTTAATGATGGAACCATGGCTTTGTAGCTACGATAACTTTCAATTCTCTAAATTTTTCCGCATGTCAGAGAAAACATTTATTGATTCAGCAGAAATGATGAAAAAAGAAATTAGCAAAACCGTATACAGGTGGATATCATCTAGTGAGTTTATATGGCCATATTTTAATATTTTTGTGGTTTATGGCTACACAGGATACTTTGTTAAGCATAGGAACTACATTTAAAGTGTCCCCAACAACCGTAATGAGTATAACTAATAAGGTGCTCCACACTATGGTAAAACTGAAGTCAGCCTGTATCAATTTTCTCAAAAATGAAACTGAAGTACAATAACAATATCCAATACCCGGCAAAATTCTAACTTGTCACATTTCAAATAATAACCAGAAATATAAAACTACTCTTGAGTTGGGTAAATACCACAATTTTGCGGTGATAACTATGACATATAACAGCTGATTCGTGACGTCACGGATCTTATAAACAAACTGATAACTACAATCGCTTGAACGGATTGGTAAATACCAAGCCAAAATGGTAAATACCATTTCCATTTGGTTATCCGCTTGAATTTGATTATTATGTTCCTGACATCGTCATTTTATCATCGACGTACGTCCATTGATTACTTCAGTACAATTTATGGTATGACGTAATAGTCATCTTTCGTGATTTTGATTATATTCATGTTTAGAAAATAAGTAAATCCTATTTGAACACATATGGTGAATAAAATAAAAATTATGATAAAAATGTATTCGTTTTTTTTAATATCACTAGGTTAAACACCTTTTTATAAAAAATTTCCCCATCATATGATTATGTATAATCTTACCTTTTGTTTTTTTTGTCGTTACAAATGTAATATGTGATACATCGGTGAATTCATAGAAAAACATGCAATTAGATACAGGGTGTACTTTATTCGGACTATGGAAAAGATAAAGTTGATGCTGGTTTCTCAAAAACGAACCGTCGGGCATTAAATTCAAAAACACCATCATGTAAAAAAATGTGATACAGGGCAACTGAAAAAGTTTCATCAGTTTTTGATATTTCTGAAAATAAAGTAAGAAAAAAAATTCAAATGATTTTAGCAAATTTTTGTTTTTCCCAAGAATCTCAGTAAGCTATGGAACTTTTACAAGTTTCTCATCGGCATGTAAATATGCCCCAAAGAACGCAACTTTTTCCTAAATTAACCTAAGCTATATACGCCACAGGTATTCAGATCCCCATGCATAGGATTCTTATTTTGGTATACACTCTGCTATAGACCCTCCAATAGTCGCCAAGATATTCTGACGGATTTCAATCGGCGTCACACCCTTCTTCTGCAGATATTTTATTACGGCTCTCTATTTTCTTTCTATTAAAATCATTGTCACACATGAACCAAAGAGCCCATGGTCCCAGCGTCAAAACAGTTTTACACGTAAAATTAATATTTTCATAACGTAGCCTACTAAGATCAACAACATCGACCAAGCACCTGCTTAGAGATCATGCGCGGATCATAGTGATCAAACCTCATAGTAGAGAGCAAAAATGCCATGCACTAGTAATTCCTGGCCGTTTGGCAGTATCTCGACATCTGCGCAAATGCAACCAAAACTTACCATATCAAAAACTGTCCTCCAGTTCCCTTGTTGCAACAATTATCGCTGTACCCATCAGGTCTCTTGCCGCAAATGCCGCATATGAGGCCTAGTGCCAAAAAGATAGTGACCAGAAGTATGACGCAGCTGATCCCCAGTCCACCGTAGTTCCTATAGTCACCGTACTCCTTCAAATGCTTCTCTGTGAACTGTATCACTTTTTCTACGTTAGTATCTACCTGCCTTTGGAATGAGTCCACCGTATCGTCTACGTACTTTAGTTTTTCTTGAATGGTGTCGTCTGAAAAATGGAAATTACAAAATAAGTTTGTTATAAAATTTTTCAAGATTGTAAAATAACACATTGGTTGAGCAGCGCTATATTCTGTTCCTTTTAAATGAAAAAATAACTTACTGCTTTTACTGACAGTATTCTTGGTCTCTATCAGTACGTTCTTTAGTCGCGTGGTGATTTCGATTTTTATACCTCCCAACCTCTTCGCGCCTTGATCTACTGCTTCACTCAAATCCCTTAGAGGTAAATTTTTCAGCTTATCGATAGTTTGAGATACGTCTGGCAACTGAAACATTGATAGTCAAATATTACCATCTAGCAGGAGTAGAATGATTTATTTAGCACGTTTGGCAGAATAATAATAAACAACCCAGGATTATTAGTAAATTCAAGCCATATGATACACATGCTGAACAAGCTATAATTGTATATTTAACAAGTGATTCCTCAATTCTACTTTGAATTTTGACCACAGTATTCTGGTCCTTTATCTGTGTATTGAATTTATTATATTCAATCAACCTTTGATGGAATACAGCTTTGTAGTAAACAGTTAGGTGCAGAGTCAATGTATCGCTATTGTTTGATTATACCAAAAAGAATCCTTATTTAATAAAATGTTATGTTATAGTTTGAGTTTATATCTCTGTTGTTAATTAACCCTAAGATACTGTCCGGGACTACATGTCAAAACGTTGTAATATTTTCACCGTGTTTATAACCGACTTGCGCTCAAGTATTTAAACACGTTTAAACTTGTCCGGATTAGCGGACAAAAGCAAATTTGTCTTGTTTATTACTCAGTGTATTTCTACATCGCACAGGGAACAGTCTAACGTAATACTTTGTTTTTCATTACAATCATGAAACCAACTCCGAAGAATATTGTCTGCTAAACAGTTACTCATAAGTGGGAAATCGACAAGAGTTATCGCTCAAAAGTTAAGCGTGAGTCAATCTACCGTACAGAGAATAAAAGCAAAGTGTGAATTTCCTATGCCAAGTAATGTTGGTGATCGTACTAAAAAGTTATTTGATAGAGAAGTAATAAAAGTTAGTCACTATTATTTAAGATCAAGTGAAGCGTCTTCAGCATCTGAAGCGGGGGCGCTTTCAAGGCAAGACACTTGCACGTTAGTGAGTAATGATAGGCGTAAATGGACTTAGAAAAAAGAAGTCGAACCCTTACAAGCAAAGGATTTTATACGTACAGTGAAACATAGTGGTGGTAATATCAAACTTTGGGGCTGCCTAACAGCTTATGGTGTGGGACCAATATACAAAATCTGGAAAAATGTATCTCAACATTCTTGAGACACATTTGATGAAAGCTGCTGAAAATATGCCATATCCTGTGTATTATAGGACGACCCCAAGCATATATCAAAAATAGTAAGGAATTGGCTTGTGAAGCAAGAGTTTCAAGTCCTTCCGTGGCCATCTCAGAGTCCTGACCACAATCCCATAGAGCAACAAGCATGCTATCAAATGAATATCAAGCACCACCATCGTACTTAAAGATTCTATGAGAACGTGTACAAGAACAGTGGTACAAAATTCCACGCAACCTCTGTGAAAAACTCGTTAAAAGTTTACAGGTTACATGCGGTTAAAAAAGCAAAAGGACAGAATATTAAAAATATCTTTTTATTATATTTTCTTGCTGGTGCTAAAGTGAACCAATTATAATTGAAATAATTATGTATTAAAATTACTATAAGAACTTATTAAAGTTCCTTAATTAAAGTTATAATAAATAAGGTTTTCAAATATAAATAAATATGTTTTCATTATTTAGTGGTTAATCCCAGCTTTACATGCCTATTTTTATTAAAACATAAGGTACTGAGTCAGTTTTGCACCTAACTGTATATTTATCTTTTTTCAATATTATTCTCGTGCACTTATTTTGTAAAATTTACAGTCTTTCAAAAATGCAATTATTAACTAAACATAGAATAGTCAAACGGTAAAAAAAAATTGGAAGAATGATAGTATGATAGACCCAGACTTCCAGAAAATCTTGATAAACATCCCACGTTATTACAAATCTTGTTTATAATTTTCGCATAACGAATATCAAAATTTAATTAAGAGTCAACAAAAAAAACCCAAGGTGATTAAAATTCAATATCTTCGCATTCAGTTAAACATTAGTACACTGTTTTTTTTTTCTTAATTAACATAGCTTTCGTTTTACTTGTATTTAATTTGAGTTTGTCGGATGCTAACCATTTTCAAACAAGTTTTAAGTATTCACTTATATAAGTGATACAAGAGTGGATATTTTGAGTATTTATATGAAGCAAAGTGTCATCAGCGAAAATTTGAATTTTGCATTTTTTGACTATGGCAGGTAAATCGTTCATGTATAAAATAAAAAGAAGTGGTCCCAGGACACTCTCCTGTGGAACACCTAACGTATTTTCAATTTTTTAGGAGATAGATAACTTTTGTCATTTTGCATCCTTTTAGACAAATAATTGATAAACCCGTCCAAAGCACTTCCTGATATACCATATGCCTTCAATCGACTGTTTCAAATCTTAGATAAAATATTTATTTGTGTGATGAACGATAAATAATTGAAATCACAAAGATTGTTTTAAACATGCAGAGAATAACTGAAAAAAAAAATGGCTGTGCACTTCCATAGCAACGCTGTCATCAGCATTATCTTCGGCACAAGTTAGTCCTTCCAAGAAAAAAAAAGTTGGCTACGAACATGTATGATAAGAAATTAAATAGGTCAAATCAGACAAACAGGCTCTACAATTAAATTTTACATATTTAGCATGCCTTTGTATACCATTTTTGGACTTTTTACTTCTGAATTTTTTTTTCAAAAAACGAAGTGTGAGCGGTTTTAACTTTTTCGTTTCAGGTCTTTTTCTCTGCCGACATTGGACCGATTTTCAAAAACTACAAAACTTTTGCGTATTTCGCAGAGCAGTAACATTATGTAAAAATTTCATCGAAATCCGAGGCGATTATCATAGGCGATGAGGCAAAGTGATAATAGTTATCAGAAAACTATTTAAAAAAATCTTAGGTACTTATGTGTTTTAAAAATCACGCGTATTTCTAAACTAACTTTTATTTAAAGAAAAACCAGGTTTTTAACCAGTTTTTACTTAAATGAGTTAAATAAATATTAGAATCACTTTAGTTCCCCGAGGCGTATGTTACTAAGGGTGAGAGAGACAGAAACATTATTCTCAGATAGTCCAAGGTCATTACCAAGGTTTATTGACTGTCTTAATTAGAAACGTTTCAAATCTTTAAATAAGATTCCTATTATTTGGATGTTAATATCAATTAAACTGATGACAATTCTTCAAAATAGCATAATTAAACAGCAATTATTAAAACGAACTAGGACACTTAAGGTAAACTGTTTGCACAACAGTGGGCGTCAAAGGACTGCTGATGATGATTTAGCAAATGCTCAAACTGCTCTGATTCAGCAGCAAAACACTCTCGACATCTTCTTAAAAAAGATCGGGTTATTAAACTTATACTTGCTTGGAAAAAAGTGGCAATTTCCTCTGAACTAGAAAAGTTGGCAGTAAAGTTGAGACACCAGTTTAAAGATGCACTATTCATCATTACACTGTAAAAATAAAATCCAAAAAAGTTAATATTTGTATTAACATGAGTTAACAGAGGGTGTGAAATTTATAGCTTTTTTTTTAATTACCTATAATTTTTAAAACACTTAGCAAAGATTTTTTTAAATATTTTTCGAATAGCAATTATGACTTTGCCTATCACCCGGTTTCGGCTTGACGTCAACTTCTGGGACACCCTGTATATGCCACTAAGAAAACTTGCTGATTTTTACATGAGCTATACGCTATCTAAAGAAAATCCCCAACTGTAAGAACAGTCCCTATACTTATATTAATATAAACCGACAAAAAACCATGCATCAAAATAGGTCTAACAACACAAAGAATTCGACATAACAATACTCACCCTCGGGAAATATCTATCGACGTACTGTTGCGTGAAAAAAGGGAAAAATATTGATTTACCTTTTATATCATATATACAAAACGTAATAGAATTTTGAACATAAAGGCTAAATGGATATGCCAGTAAATTGAAATTCATAGTAACAATTATTATTAGCGCTGTGTAAGAAAGTCAACAGATTTTTTCTATTAATCAACTAATACAGACTACTCTCCTAAATCACATACATCTTATGAATATTTTTCACATACCTTATTGAAATCAATATTCGTTTGAAGCTTGGAGATGTTGTTATTGAGTTCTGCACATTTAGGTAGTGTGTTGCAGTCTTGCAGAGTTTGTAATAGATCGGCCTTTACTTTCCTCATTGCTGGAAAAAATTATCTGCTCTTTAGTCATATCAAAAAGTACCTAAGGAAAATCAACAGGGAAGACGCGAAAAGTCCCTGCACAAAAGCAATGGGAAAATTTTTGGTCGAATTGAATCAATTCCATAAGATAAAAAGTGCCCTACAGTGATACAGGGTGGCCGACATGTAACTGACTAGTTTGTATCTTGAATATTTGTGAAATGAAATAAGATACGTAATAAATCTTAATATTTTATTCAAACCTCGAAATTATGTATGAAAAATAATATCAGACAAATGTCCGCATCTAGAAGCCGCGCAAAACTGAGCCCTCTTGATTACATTTTCCATCGCTTTTTCATGGGTTTCGGGAGAAATATTTTCAATTGCTTCCGTAATATTGTTCTTCTATAGTATTTGGTTTGTTGCCATAAAAAAGTCAGGAGCCGTTAAATCCGGTGACCTTGGTGGCCAGTTAAAATCACCAAATCGATAAATTAAACGTCCCGGAAATATTGTTCGCAAAAGATTCATTGCTTCCCTAGCTGTGTGACAAGCTGCTCCGACCTGCTGGAACCACATGTTTTGCAGGTTAAATTGTTGGATTTGAGGAGCCAGAAAGTTTTGCACCATATCACGGTAGCGCTCACCAGTGACAGTAAAAGAATTACCTGCAGCGTCTTCAAACAAGTAAGACCCAATGACACCTTCATACCAAACACCGCACCAAACTGTGACTCGTCGAGGATGTAGTGGTCGTTGATGGATGACACGAGGCTTCTTTAATGCCCAGATACGACAATTCTTCTTATTAACAAACATTATCAGTTGTCGGTAAAAATTGTTATTTTGGGTATTAAGCTGCAATATTGCATGACTGTATTGTCTGAGTCTTTCATGGTCACTAGGCTACAGTTCTTGTGTTAACTTTTTTAAATAGTGCATAATGACGTGCGATGAATACCCAGTTCTTGAGAACGAAGTCTAATAGACGTTTCAGGGCGCTCCACTACACTTTCACGAAGTGTCTCGATATTTTGTCGTAGCTTTCACATCGTTGCAACAGTCGACTCATTACTTAAGTAAAACGTTTTAGCAATACGGACGCGTTATGGGATCGTGAATCGCTCCATGATGAATTGGACACATGTGCTTTCAACAACTACTACGACGCCACCTACTGAAATGCGTGTATCAAAAATGAAGCGCAATTTAAATCAGTCGGTTATATATTGGCCACCCTGTACAAGAACCAAAAAGGACCCAAAAGGCAACATCTGGAAAAACGGTTGAATTATATTGTCCCAAGATTTTTAACGCAATGACTATAATAATGAAAGGCTAGTCGAAGAACACTTCATTTCACATATTTCTCTGTTACAGGATTTATTATTTCAAATGACGGATTTATATTCAATCTTGCAAGCTGCCTAACATTATGGCTAGAAGAAAATACCGAGTATCTGAATAAGGAAATTTAAATTGAATATTATAAACCGATTTTTACGAATATTTAATAGCCACCGCGTTAAAAATTATCCGCGTTTGGCAGATATAACTCTGTAGGGGCAGCCCGCATGTCACTGCATGCAAACTAGTCCTAATAAGTGTTTGTTTAAAATACGAATCTAAGAGATTATTATTCACCTTCTTATTTTTTTATTGAATTTTGGCATATTGAACTTATATTCTCTTTTCTGACAGGAAACTCAATTTCCAGACCTAGGTCCCATGGATATTTTTGATTACCTTACCTATCGATTCGGTCGGTATTCATTCAATTCCAGCAAAAGATTTTTTTATTTATTGTTTCCATTTCAAAAGAGAATAATTAACAGTATACAGGGTATCCCAGAAATCGACGTCAAGCCGGGATCTTGGAATAGGCCAAGTCATAATAGTTATCAGTAAAATATAACCGAAAAATCAATCACAAACTATAGGCTTTGAAAAACGGAAAAATCTACACCATGTGATGAACTTTTAATTCTCATTACTACAAATTTCAATTTCTTCTTAGATGGAGTGACAGACAGTGTCATTCTACGAGTACATAGTAACAGCAAGACAGTAACGCCACTTTTATTAATTCGTGAATGTATTTATTAAATCACAATAAATGTCTTCCTTCAGCGACATTTTATTGAAAATTATCGGGTAATCAGGTGGGCGAATATTCCGTTATTAACAAATTCAACTGCTTCCGTTATTCTATCTCGTAGCTCAGCTAAATTTGAGTAAATGTTTCCTGTAAAAAAATCGAGTGGACTCAAATCAGGTGTACGGGCTGGCCACAAAATTGTACCAGACCGCCCTACCCATCTGCCATCTGACTTGGCCTATCCCCCGTTTCCGACTTGACGGTTAGAATTCAAAGATTTTTCAACAATGCACCAGATAATATCCCTAGAATCAATGAAAATATCTTAAAACCTACACTTTTAAATAACTGAACTAACCGTCATTCAACTGTGAGGCTGACACCCTGAGGCTGTTCGTATCCTGTTTCAATAGTTCCAAGTTTGCCTGGATTTTTGGAATACTTTTAACGAAGGTCTGCAGCTCAGTCATGGCTGTTGCGTTGCTCAACAAAGTCAGTTGCTCCATCACGTAGTCTTCAGATTCTGTAACATCTCTTATATAACCATCTGTGGTTGTCTCTCGCGAGCAGAAAAATAAGTTTCGGTGAACCAACAATTAAATAGATTCGAGAAATAAGGACAAATTCAAAGAAACGCCTTACCAATAGTTTTGTAAATTTTAAAAATCGGCACGCATAACAAAGCATTCGCAAAGTGTGAATATACATGATGTTATAAAAAAGTGGAAGATATGTTGCTCAGAGTTTTGAAGTACCTAAGATGGTCGAGAGCTCGGAGGAGCAAAGTCCGTGGCATATCGATAAAAGGGAGCGTCTATTAAGTCACTTATCGGTCCGATAGTTCTCCTCTGAGCAGCTATGAACAATGCTTAGAGGCCAAGTAATTTTGTTTCGTATGTGAAAATAGGCATATTCACGAAATTATTAGCAAGAGAACAAAAAACCTTCATATTAGGAATGGCTATCTGACATCGATTAATCGGAGAATCAATTTTTCAGGTCAAAAAAATCGATATTTTAAATCGATTCATAGTACTGAATCCCTAGAACCGACATTCGATTTTTTGTATTAATAAAAATCATAGTTTTAAATCGATATGTCTTCCGAATTGGAACATCAATATTACTATTGGTCACTTCGTAATTCTGCTGGTTTTACGTCGTTTTATAGTCACATCTCACTTATCGTTCTGCGTCAGTCAAATGTCAAGTCGCTGTCAAAAAATGACTTCTTAAAACTGACAGCGTCACAGCTTTATCATTCATAATTTCTTAACCTAAAAGTAATCAGTGATGTCGACTTCTGACATTTCAGAATACACCCAGGAAAATACAAATAAATTGACCAAACCTAACCTAACCCTCATGTTAGACAATTTATTTGTATTTTCCCGTGTGTTTGACGAAGTTTTAGGTTCGCTTGTTCTTACTTAGCTGTTTTATGATGGGTTATGTTTGTTTTTTCCTTAAAACCCTGGAATAATTCCGGTTAATTTTGAGGTTATGGACGCCTCTGAATAGCTTTGAAATGTCAGAAGTGGACATCACCCATTACTGATACTAAGATCTGTATTGTTTAATCACAAAAATATGTTTTTTTAGCATGTCAGGTAAAAGTGATATATGGAATCATTTTATAAAAAAAGATTTAGGCGGCACCGTTCTTACTTTCTATAACATATATTGGTACTGTAGATGCAAATTTGAAAAAAATCGATTTTTTAGGAATCGATCTTTTACATAGCGATTTTTTTGTGGATCGATTCAACTGATTGAGATTCGAATCGATTTAAAAAATGATCTTTTTTGGAAGAATCGCCATCCCTACTTCATATCTCCTTCTTTTACATGTACACCCGGTACCTCAAAATTGTGTACTTTGTTGTTGTGTTATCAGAAACATATCACTGATAACATGATATGAATCATTCAAACCTAAAAGAATTATCAGCTAATTCACAAACGGCACTTCAACTTAAAAAATTTCTCATCAGCTACAATTGAATCGGTGAGTCCAAGAACAGTACAAGTCCAAAAAGATAGTTCTGAGAAAACGCGAAAAAACTTCATAGCTCCCGAATGTGTAGAGTTACCGTTTTGGCTATCATACAAAAATGGTAGTGATTCTTTATATGAATACTAATTTTAAATAAAAAATAGACAAAAATCACACCCCTCGAAGTTGTAGAAGGGTGAAGTTCATGGACTTGTACTGTTCTTGAACTCAGTCTTTTTTTTGTACATTTTTGCAGATTTAGCGTATAATAGAGTTGGAAAGGAACTCTTATAGAGGCTGCTAGACATATGAAAAATGTTTTATTGGGCGAATCCATACAAAAATATTAGTCATCGGGATCTCCGTTTGCGTAGCTTTGCTTCCAGGAAGTTACATGGTAGTAAAATTCTAATGTTTCACCGTTAATGTACTTCATGACTTTTTTGATATCGGTGATCTTCTTATGATTGATGGGAACCGGCTCTTGATATGCGCGTATCTCTGGCAAAGGAGGACTTGGTTTGTTCTGTTTGAGGAGCTTAAAAGTATAAGAAATAAAACCATCTATATATTCATAGGTAGTAACATATCCTGGAGAAGAATTATCATAAACAAACTGCCTATACTTTGAAACAGTGAATGCCTGCGTGGTATCACCAGGTTTAGGGATCGAAGACGCAGTTTTTTTGTAGCTAGAAGGCCACCAATTTTTAAAGTCAATGATATCTTTGTAGGTAATCTCTTTAAAAGTAAACGGGTTGTTCTTCCTGCACGATACTATCATCTCTTGATATTCTTCTGGTAAATACACTCGGTCGCTTCTTCGTACAAGTTTTTTCAAAGTTCCAAAGTCTCTATCGCAGGGCAAGAAGGAGTGCCCCGTACAAGAAAATAATGATAAATTTTTTTGAACCGTTTGGTTGCTTGTAGAGCTAGGAAAAATCTCACTATTGTGTTATTCCGATTTTGACCAGGACAGCCGTCAGAAAATATATGCAGCTCTGTCACGTTTCCAGGAATGTGAGTCTCTATGTAGTTTTTGAGGAATGTGCAGACCTCGTTTGGTCCTTTGCAGGCATGCCCTTCGTGGTATGTGTAAAAATGTCCAGAATTGTCTGATAAATTATGAATTTCTAAAGCATATACCCATAGTTGCCGAAAATAAAAGATCTCTTGAACTGGTATATTCGGGAGGTGTAGATTTTGAATGTAATCTAAAGTAATACCGGCAACTTCAGGTCGATTTTGACAGAGTTTTTGGATATCCTGCAGTTTATTATAAAAATTTTTGGCACGTCGCTTATGGACTATCAGTTCTGCTGTGGCCACTCGCTTTGCATTATCATTCAAATCTTTACTTTTAATCTTGGCGCCTAATCGTTCGCATTCGGAACAGACGTCCACCTGTGGTCTTCCAAATTTAAGTGCATAATTTTCCTTGAAGTACTTTAAATAGAATTCATACTTAACATCACGCTGCAAATCAGGATTTTCTTTAATAAATAGAGAGTGCATTGTTTTAACATTTAGCCTAGCATCTAGGTATTGATGTACTCTAGAAGAATAATGAGTACTTTTACGTGGGAAACGTTCTATGTGCTCCCTAATTCTGATTAGTACTTCATCTGATTTGGAACGTGGCCTGTTATTGTGTAGGCCCCTTAAATCTCTTGGAGATGCGCCCGTCACAAGCAATGTAGTTAAGCGTTGAATTTGCATATGTGACACACCGTAAATACTCATGAAAGCTCGCTTGCATACTGCCACACGGTTTCCAGAGCTCTCCAATATAGAGTACTTAAAACTTGCGGATTTGGGCTTAGCATTAGCTTGGACTCGTCCTCTACGTCTTGAAATGGTTGTCACCTCAATTAGGCCTTGAAGAAATGTGTCACGTTCTTTTTGGGCCTACCGTCATATAGTTTGGAAATTAAGATGATTTTTCTTCATCGGGAAACTTCTCTGTGCACTTCTCCTTGCACCTTTAAAATACGCAAGTTACTACTCTGTGCTTTTTAGTATCGATAATAACACTTACCCACATGGAGACCCAGATGATTTTGGTGCAACCCTTTTTCCGGATGTAGAAACATAGGCTTCACCTTTAAGAGCAGCAGTTTTCCTTTTATTGTCTTTCCAAACTTTCGGATTCCTTTTTCGCTTTCTACTCCCATGCAAACCTTCGGCACTATCATCACTCTCGTTAGAACTAATCATTGTTGTTCTCAAAAATAACTGCTTCCAACTATTAAGTTTGTCTCGACAGTGAGATAACCTAACTCTTATAATTTATTATCGCCACCTCGCGCGCGATGTGTGACACCCACATCAGTGAGGTCGAAAACAGTACATGTCCTGGACTTGTAATGTTTTCCATCTCAACGCCGTAGAGAGGTGGCGCGTATAGCCGAATTATTCCTGAACATTGTAATGTTTTTAAGCGCAACACACGAGTCTTCGAATTTTAAACAATTTGGCTATCTTAACTCAATACGCCATTTTTTGGACTTGTACTGTTCTTGGACTCACCGATTCAATTGTAGGACGCCATTATGGCCTCCTTGTTTTTCATAGTTCTTCTGTTCCGTGTCAGCGCTCTATTTTGAGGTTATGCTACAAATTAGGCATGGGTAACACTGTGCTAAGTGGCACATTTGTGTCGACACCTTCCGCGGTATCATGTGTGTTGAAACAACTTGTCGTGACACAATGACACCCTGACACTTTAGAAAATGGCGGAAAGTTAAGTTCCAAGTTTCATGAGCGCCGCTCCGCGTCCCGCCGTCGAGTTCGATTGGCTATCGGATGGCACGGTAACACATGGGTGACACTGTGCGATTTTACTATTCCGGCCGTTCGAGTCATTCCAAGGTTAGTTGTTAGTAGATTGTAGATTGATAGGTTGCCTCGTAACGTAACTGCTTGAGAGGAGTGACTTTGAATAATCCCCCTATTCCTCGCCGAAGTCACCGTTTTTGAATCCCAGAATACCAAAACGTACCATACCCGCGTTTTAATAAATGTCAACGTCGGCACATCGCACTGGATCGGTGTTGCCACAGTAAGCGCATTTTTTGTTTCAGCACCGTACCCGCGTACCGTACATACTGTGTCATAACACAATAGTGTTGACACATTGTTTTGACACAGTAAGCACTGTGTGTGTCATTGTATCAACACGCGAAAATTTGCAGTGTTATCCATGGCTACTACAAATATCTATTTGCATCAAATTGTTCAAGCTTTTGTTTTATATCATCTGTTATATGAAATTTCCTACAATTCAGAAAGAAAACATAGCCGCACAATAGGAGAGCGCTGACGTTGAGACGGAACAGTAGAAATCTAGAAATACCACAGCCTTTCTGAAGAAGAGAAAATACTACGAAAATCATGGAGGCCATAAAGGCGTCCTATAATTGTAGGAACGACTGACGATACGATACTTAGTACTTCAGATATCTTGAGCGCCTCCGTTTTTTCCTATTAACGGAAAGCGACCTCCAAAGTTCAAACACAAAAATGCATGACGTAAAAAGCTCCAACGCGACATATGGTGTATTTTTTAATTCACCGGTTGAGCAACCGGTGCCACCGGTGGACCAGACATCTGTCCTTTTAATTCAACCGGTTGCTGCCATCACCATACAAAGCTGTCAACAGTGTCAACCATAAGCATCAGTGGTGGAATCAACCGGTGAATTAAAGAATCCACCTATAGCAAGTTCTTCTGAGATAAACTACTTCCTACTTCTACTGTAAAGGTTAGGATTCCGTCAGATGTGAAGGAAGCAGCTCGTCTCTGACGTTGACAATTTGACATGAAACGAATGGTGACGCTTTATTGCTTTCAAATGCTACTGGCTGGTAAATTGGGCGCGAAATACAGGTCTGCGTTCGTGAATTATTAGAGTGTACTTTCTACTACTCTGTAACAGTTTCAGCGTTCGCAAGTGTTTGACATACCTGTTCCATGTATTCAGAAACGGAACAAAGTAATCATTCTGGAACGTCAAAAGTGCACTTTTCACCTTGGGAACAAGAGTGTTTGTCATTCTTATAGTTCATTGTTTTTTTTACTTTATTTGGTAATTAAAAACTGCTCAAAATTGACAAAATATACATTTTTCACAATAAATGGGCTATCTCGTATCTTGTAATAAAAAAATGGTAGGGTAAACGTGGTTAGAAATTAGTGGGCTGTCATCAAGTATCATTACATGACTGTAATAATTTAGGCAAAAAGACGAAAAAATATTTTTTTCACAAAAAGCATATTATACGTACTGTTGAGGGTGTCAGAGAATTGGTCAGAAAACTCTGCAAAATTTGTGACTAGTAGATGAGAAGCTTGTCTTTTGGTATCGTTGATATAGGTGCTGGCGTCGTTACTGCTATTTCTCATGCTTTTCGGGAAATCGTTGATACCATCTTGAAGTTGCTGATTACTTGCAAAGGCGCACACTACGCAGAACCTGTAAGGATTTATTATTCATAATGTTGTTTGTTCTATAGGAGTAGAGAACTTCAAAATGAAATGCTGTAATACAATTTTATTTTTGCAAACTAATGGGCTTAGCGGAATTACGAGGGCGGTCCGGTAAGTACTTAGCCTCACCGCCCGATGACGTACGGCTACGGTCACAATTTCAGCCGAATCGGGCTCGTAGTTTTGTTTTGACCGCGAGTGGCAGCAGGCGTGTCCGCGGGTTTTAGAAGAATGGAAAATGAGCAATACCGGTCGGTGATTCGATTATTGTTTTTGGAAGGAAAATCGCGCAGCGAAATCAAAGAAATGTATACAGTCACTCTTCCCCTTCGATGGCGACCAGCAAACATTGGCTTAACAAGTTTCAACGTGGTCACAAGTTGGTTTTTGATGACCAACTCCCAAGTGGACCGAAAACAACTACCACGAAGGCTAACGTGTCAAAAATCCACGATCTCGTATTGGCAGACTGCCGGCTGAAGGTGCGCGAGATAGCTGAGACAGTAAGCATCTCAAAAGACCGCGTGGGTCATATCCTGTATGAAATATTGAACATGAGAAAGCTGTCTGCGCGTTGGGTGCCGCGTTTGCTCACTCGGGACAACAAGCACAACCGTGAGACCACTTCGGAGCAGTGTTTGACGCTGTTTAAGCGCAATCCGAAGGATTTTCTGCGTCGTCGACGAAACATGGATTTACTGGTACACACCAGACCAAGGATCAGTCGAAACAGTGAACTTCACCCGGCGAACGAACTTCGAACAGGCGAAGACGGTCCTATCTTCCGAAAAGGTGTTGGCCACCGTTTTCTAGGATTCACAAGGTGTGATATAGATCGACTATCTGGAGAAGGGTTACGGACTGCTGTCCCATCCACCGTATTCGCCAGATTTGACCCCGTGAAACTTCTTTTTGTTTTCAAACTTGAAAAAGTCACTAGCCGGGCAGAAATTTGTGTCGAATGAGGTTATCGCCGCGACCGAGGCCTATTTTGCAGACCTCCAGAAAACGCATTTTTCAGACGGGTTAAAGAAGTTGGACCATCGCTAGGTCAAGTGTATCGAGCTAAAAGAAGTTTACGTTGAGAAATAAATCGCCAATTTTCCAAAATTTTAGTATTTCTTTTGTAGGCTAAGTATTTATCGGACCGCCCTCGTATATGAATTTCCCTTTCGTCTTTAACATAACGCACGATAAAGTGAATATGAGACATGCGTAGAAGTATCAAATTGACAGAATTCGATAATGGTTTTTATTGCATAACCTAAAAATGCTGACACAAGTTCAAAGGCAAGAGCAAGTCAAGTTGAAAACGAAATGATAAATGAAATAACATAATTTTTCTAAAATATGATTTTGGAGGAAATCGATATCAAAGTGTACACATTGACATGGTTTTGTTGCCTCATTTCATCCGGAGTACCCCAAGGGTCTGTACTTGGGCCACTCCTATTCATTTTATTTACATATTTCTGATTTGTATGTTAAATATTGCTATATCCAATTCTTTGTCGACGATTTACAAATCTACAGTCATTTCCATAATCACAACATTCAAAGTGCTGAATCTGAGATAAATAAATATATAAAATCTATTAGTATGTATGCAAAGAATCATAACATTCAGTTGAACAGTTTAAAATGGGAATTCATTATTTTTTCACCAAAACTATTTAGAAGCGATACCAAAACAAATTTTAACATAAAATTAAATTGTGAGACTATACAATTAGGTGAATTTTATACCACATGTAAATAATATCAGTAAGAGTTATTTCTCCGTTCTACGTCAATTATATCTCAATAAACAATATCTTGACTATGCTACTAAAGAAAAATGTGTGAATGTTCAAAATAAGGCATTGCGATTTATCAAAAATGCATGTTGTAGGTTGATCAACAATTTGAAGAAATGCGATCATATCAGCTCTTTTTTATTGTTGAGAGTAAAAGAACTTTGCGAGCTACACTTAGTGATTTATATCAATAGACTTTGTGATCCATTCCCATTTTTTTTAAAAAAGCTGATATTCATTCACGGAAACACTCACAATGCCCCTTCACAGGACAGCATTCTTTCGCAAATGTTTCACCTACAACGGAAATATTTTTTACAATGATACACCTGGAGCCTCAAAATAACTATCTACGATACTAATTTAAACGACATATGAAGAAATTTATTTCGTATAGAAATACACAAATCAGTTGCTAAAATTTATCTGTCATCTCACACATATTCCAATATAACATAACATCCTTTTGTTCGCATAACTGTTAAAGTGTGCGCTTTTGAATCCTGAAATATTGAATATCCCTTCACTTACTTATATTTTATATATGTACATCATATTTTTATACATCTACATTTTTAACTTACGTGTAACTTATCGAGTGTTTTCATGTTTTTGTATTCTGTTTCAGTTTTTTTTTTCGGGTGTCAGAGTAGCATTATGCTAAACTTCGCCCCCTAATAACGACGATTTATTATCATTATTGTAAGATGGTACTCACAGCATTCCAGTAGCAAGAGCGATCAGAAAAGCCCCAAGTAACACTTTCCGACACAGATCTCGCCTTTTGTCAGCAGGTCTGGTTCTGGCCCCGCATTTTCCTGCGCACCTACAACAGCAAAAGCAGAGACCGCAAATGGGCAGAAAAACGCCCACAATCACCAAACTGATCAGGACTAGAAGTATCACCCAGTACGAATGGATGATCGTTGAAAACGTCAACGCCTGCTGGTTGATTGAGAAGCCTGACGGATTGTGATTTATTATGAAAAGATCTGCAAGAAAGAGAATGTCTCTGTAAAGGTAGGCGTCCGCTATGCCGCGCTTCAAGCAGTTGGCCTCGCATACTTATTACGTAAAAATCGCAATGTGACAATAGCAATAGCAAAGTTCGCACTAGATTAACGTATTCTACCTGAGGATCGATAATCATATACTGTATTCAGGGATCTTAAAGATACTAGCGCCACCTGTGAGACAGTAGCAGAACCCAAAAATGAATTAAGAATTCTACTCTTTAAAGAGTTAAAATTTCTGGTCCTGCTGACCACAAATGACGCGTGGATCTTCAATGCCTTTTGTACCTCTCTAATGCCGATTTTAATTTGATATCTTCAGGTAGAATACGTTAATCAATACCTAAGAAAAACCAATTGAAATTGGCATTGGAAAGGCGCTAAAAATTGACAGAAGATCCAAGCGCCATTTATGAGACATTAGTAGAACCTAACTCTCTATGTATCTTCAAAGTACGTTTCTAAATCCATTTTTGTGTTCTGATAAATGACGCTAGTATTTTTGAGATTTCTCTATAGTCGCCGAATTAAATTATATGGTTGGCTACTTTCAGGTAGTATAGGTTAAGGAACGGTCATTTTACCGGTATTTACCTAAAATACTGCAACCAGCATTTCACCAGAATATTTGTGGGTTGTAGACTTTCGAACAGGGTATTATGGAGAAAATATTTCAGAGAAAAAAGATCTCATTTTGCCGGTTGCCTGGGCAGCAACGGGCAATATGTGTACAAGTGCAATGTTATCTGATCACTGATTCCATTATGGAAAAAGTATTTAGGGTGAGCCAAAGGTATGATAGCACACCCAAATATATCGGAATCTATGGGTGCTAAAAAACTTTAATTACAAAAGTTTCAGGAAATCAAATGGTGCATCTTGTGGTGACGTTTACATTCAAGTTGGAGGACATTTCAAGGGCAAGTTGACTTTTTCAAATAGGAACCCCCATTTTTTATTGCATAAACTGAAAGCCAAAAAAATTTCATTCTCAACCTGTATAAATATCATAGGGACTACAATTACATCTAGAGATTATTTCAAGGTCAATTGTTGCTCTTTCGTGTAATGTTATGAAGCAGCAGATAGCTGGAAAAAGAAGTGTATTAAAGAACGTTTAATGTAAGAATTGCAGGGCACCCAACAACACATCTCATCGTGATTTTCATTCTGACTTTGGCTGTGACCCTGAAGGTCTATTCAAGGTCAAATTGATTTTTTCACATGGAAACCCTCAATTTTGTGAAATAGGTAATACTATTTCCGGCCAGTAAAGGCAAGACACGTTGGGATTAAAATTGAGCGTTTCCATGAGAAAAAGTCAGTTTGACCTTGTATTCACTTTTAAGGTCATAGCCACGGTCAGAATGAAGGTCATCATCAGATGTGCGGTTGAGTATCCTGCAATTTTCGCATTAAAAGCTTTTTTTAATATTCTTCTTTCTCCAGCTATCCGCTGCATCACATTCCATTAAAGAGCAACAGGGTGACCTTGACATAACAGCCAGATGTAATTTTATAATATTTATATCGTTGAAAACGATTTTTTTTGCTTTCGATTTCTGCAATAAAAATGGGAGTTCCAATTTGAAAAAAACAAATTGCCCTTGAAATGACCTTCTAGGTAGATATCAACGTCAAGTCCAAGGTCACCACTAGATGCGCCATGTGATTTCCTAAAACTTTCGTATCTAATTTTTTTTCCTAGCACCCTTAGAGATATTTGGGTATGTCCATACATTTGGCACACCCTGTATGCTGTCAATTAGCCGGAAGAGGATCAATAGGCTCAGCAAAGCGAGTAGTATTTTAAAATAGACAAAATACACACAGACCCAGTGCAAGCCAATAGCTATTACGCGGTATGAATTTTGCGAAAGGCGCAATCTGACATAAGAAATCGCAATTTGACATAAGGAATTGCAATTACCTAATAAAAGTATGAATTGCGAACACAGTGCCCATTTGAAATCACGAGTGTTCGAATGTTCATCTACGATATGCAAAGCTGACAGAATATAGAATGAACCCACGTCGATGCTCAGTGGTCTAAAACACCCAAAAAGCTGGCAAAAAGTCAAAAGATGAAGTAATGGAAACAGATGAAATTCATCATGTTTACAGTTCACACCTGGAATAATTAATTAGCCACGAAAACAAAATGTTGTTTACTATGGCAGATCGTCAAACTTGAAGTAGCTTGTTATAACTTTTTTGTGGTGAAATCCGTGACGTTCTACATTATACACACCGTGTTGTGTTTTGAAAAATCCAAGATATCTCATATGGCTTCTACTAAAGAAGATATTTCATCTGATATACAGGGTGTTCCATAATTATTGCGACAAAATGATAGGGGTTGTAGAGGGCATCAAAATGAACAATTTTTCCTTATAAACCCCTGTTCGGAAATATGCCGTTTGGGCTGCAGCAAAAAAAAAAGATCAGTTTCTTGAAACAGCTTACCTACAGTAATTGCTCAAAGTGTCCTCCACCTTGCTCAATACACAGCTGTGCACGATTGTTCAATGATCGGCGAACTCTGTGGCATACCCCCGGTATGTCCTGAACATGTGCGGACGCGGCCATCACTCTTCCCAGTAGCTCTTGTTGGTTGGGAACAGGAGTTTCGTACACTAAAGCTTTCAGATAGCTCCAGATAAAATAATCCAGTGGGGTCAGGTCAAGTGACCGCGCAGGCCAAGGCACAGGGCCACCTCGGCCTATCCACCTATTTGGAAATTTGTCGTCCAAATACTGCCGCACTTGTAAAGAAAAGTGGGCTGGACCGCCATGGTGTTGAAACCACATGTTGGCTCTTATATTCAGTGGCACATTTTGTAATAGTTCCGGTAGCACATGCTGTAAGGATCGACCATAAGCATGCCCATCCAAACGTGGTGGAAGCAGATATGGCCCGATGATATGCTCGTCCACAATGCCGCACCAGATGTTAATTGAAAACTGATGTTGGTCTCTATGGATGGCTATGGCATGAGGGTTTTCTTCATCCCAAATGTGACTGTTATGGCTATTAAAATAACCGTCCTTTGTAAAACAGGACTCGTCAGTGAACAAAACGTAGCGACCAAAGTTTGGTTGCCTCAACTCCTGCTGCAGCCACCAACGACAAAAACGTCGACGCGGCAGATAGTCTGCTGAACCCATGGCTTGGACTTTTAAAAGGTGGTACGGGTGTACGATAACAAAAATGTAAACACAGCAGGCTTTTTTTACAAACCGGTGAGACCATGAAATGTGCTAGACGAACATTTTGCAGCTGGTGAATTTTTTGTTTCTCCTATGAGCTCTTAAGGTAAAATTAACTGTAGTGCTCAAACGGCATATTTACAGGGGTTTATAAGGCAAAATTGCATATTTTTATGCCCTCTACAACCCCTATCATTTTGTCGCAATAATTATGGAACACCCTGTATAATAAAAATGTGTCCCGATTATTGTATTCACCCACATGGTGGGTTGATTATCATATCATTACTTTTCAGTGAACTATTATTTAGAAAAGTTTTTAACAAGGTTCCGCCCTTTGTCCCCGTTGGCGTTAATTATGCTTAAGAAGCTTGAAGTAGTGCGAGATAAAAACTAGAATCAAATTTTGTTAACGACTAACAAAAAAGGTTCATAAATTGGAAGCCAAAATTTTGAAACAAACAGGTCATGTGATACCGAAAATTGAAATCTTGCAAGATTTATATGAAATTTTAAAAATTAGTGGCTGGAGGTCAAAGCAGGTCCTTTTTTTCAATTAGACACATAGATTGGCTCAACTGCACATTAAAATTTACAAGGAAAATCAGTCACTAACGACCGACCAAAATCCAGTTCCTGAAAGAACTAAGATATTAAAAACTTTCGAACTGTGAACCAGCACGAGCGCTCAAGAATTGACGTGTACAGCACAAATTAAATTAAGAGCAAAAGCTGCAAAATTAATTTAAGATCTATTTAACCTCAGATTCGTTCTTTCAGACATCACTTTTTATGGAGTTTTTAAGCGGTGCTATAGTGACATCGTATTTTCTTATGTTTGAAATATAATATTTGTGTTTTTTATCAATCCTTCTTACTCGGCAATCACTATACTATTATAATGCTCCTGCCTCCTATCAAACATCTTAATATCAACTTATTTCAAGGTTCTGACGCCATAATTGATATGCCATAATGAATTTGTTTTTCGGGAGCAGATTACAAATGAGCGACGTCAAAAACCTTTCTGTGCCAAATTTCATAAGGATGCTGCGGAAGTTGTCATTTTTATCAACTTTTTGGGTGTTACACACCAACGTGCATAAATATGTGCCAAACATGGAAACGCATCCACTGGGCGAACATCCGCATGACATCGACACGGAACGGAATATTTCCTCCTTGTAAAAACTCTATTCGGATATCTTGCGGTCCGATGTGTGCCGTCACTGAGCGCGCTTCCATAAGTTCAATCTTTTGATGCGTATCATTCCATGTGTACGATGTGAACCTGTAGACGCGTACCTTAAGGCAACGGAGATCATTGCAAATAAGTAAGGATAGGCAGTCGTTTGGATATTATAGCCGTCACACGAATTTGTGTGGGACATTTGATTTTCAGCAAAAGTTATCCTACATCAGTAGCAGGTTTAACGGTAAAGTTCCGCAAAAAAGCAGCGTCACGTAGGTTAACTTTGCACTTCCCACGCAACGCCCTGATCAGTAGAAACAGCGATATGTTCCGCACAAACTACACTCTCTGAGAAAAATGTCAGTCCAGGTCCATACAATTAGTCCATAGAGATTATTTCCTTGTCCTAACGGTAGTACATCTGGAAAAGTCGCCTGTCCCCGATAACTAACGCGCGGCCAGGGCATAGAAAACACTAGGCTGTTGCGCGGCAGACATACGAGTGATTCCATAACAGAACAGTCATCACGGTCGACGCACGACGCCAGCAGCAGCCGCGGCCGTTAGGTACAAGATC